GACTGAGGCCGGAGACCACACATTCACTTGGGGGGCGAAACCAGCTTTGTAAGTCCCTGGTAAAGGATTTTGCCCATGCACCGTCAGCAAGATGCCAATGGCAAGATCTCGTCCCAAGACTCATCAAGCCTCCACTTGGTGGCTCCCAGCCATCCCCTAGCTTTTTAGATCCTTTTAGTGTTTTTCGTGGTAGTTTCCGAATTTGAGCCACGAAAAGTTAGTCACTTTTAGCGGGGGATCTGAGGGCAGCCCAGTTCAGGAGAGGCCAAATCGGAGGCCGGTACCTAGGTCCCCCAGCTAGGTGCCCTTTTCCCGTTTCTTTTTTGGTTGGGAGATTCGGTTCCCCTACTAAAATAGACTACAGAAAAAAGTTGGTACCCTTATTCCAGCCTCTCTGCTGGAGGCCCTAGGTACTGTTGGCCCTGGATGAATGATCCTTGTGAATGAATAGGGGTGCGTTTTCTCCGGATTAATCCGGAGGACCGTGCTAGGGGCGGTTCCCTTTTCAGGAGATGATCTATTTTAATGGGGCACTCCCAAATAATAGACCCATTTTTCGCTGATGGCCAGCTATGAAGCAAAACTGGGCTATTGGCCGTGTTCACGGGACGCAAGACATGTGGCGAGCCGTTTGGCTGGCCATCGGACGGCTTTCGACTCCTGCACTAAGTGACGGAAGTGGTGCCATCGCATGGCCCCGCCCTCCCGGCTCCGAAGATCCGATCTGAAGATCCGAGAAACCGAGGCGGCCATCTGCCGGAACGGTTGCTCCGGCCACGGCAGCTGCGGGCTGCTGGGCACCTGCATCTGCGAGGGCAACTGGGCCGGCCGCGACTGCCAGGGCCCCGGACTCCCGGACCCGACCGCGCCATCAATCAAGTGGCCCTTTTTGATCCACTTTTAGAACAGGTCCCAACAGAGTAAGCTGCAGGCTTGTATTTCCAGGTCCTTTGGGCTGGTGGCTCCCAGCCATCCGGTTCAACGCTGCTTAGATCTGTTCAGTTGGTCTAATGGTCGGATTTCCGAGTTTAATCCACAGAAAGTTCTCAACTTTTCGCAGGAGCGGTGCTCGAGTTGCCCTTACTTGGTGGTTTGGATTTGGACTTGTAGCCCTGGCTTTTGTAGAGGGTTCATGGGAAACCACAAATCCAAACCCCCAAACCACCAATCCAAACCACCCAGTAAGGGTAACCTGAAGTGCTTGGCGTTTAAAGTCACTATTACGGTAACCAGGCATTTCCAACCATCATATAAAACCTGGAGGTAACCAAGGATGATGAAAACAAAACACTGGACCAGAGCTAGGCGTTGCGCGTTGCGTTGCAAGCCACCTTTTGGTAGGAGGAGCCTAATCTTTTGTTGGGTATATATCCCTACTTGGACATATCCATTCGGAAACAACTTAGAATGGGTCGTTTCGGGTTGCCAAACATGTGGCTCCTCTTGAGACCTCAGTGTCGCCTCGCCTAGAAACAGAGCCGACACCAGGAACTATGAAAAGCATAGTTTGGATCAAACGCATAGTTTGGATAATGCAAGGGGCAGCTTAAAACTTAGAAGCATAATTTTGGAACAGTTGCGGTTGGGACTGCTTGGGGGAGGGGGGGGTAGAAGTTGTCATAGTTGTCAATTTGGGGGATGGGGCGGTTGCCACTGTCACCGAAAAACCTTGAGAATGGTTCTTCATTGTGATAAAGCAGCCATGGACGGGAATCAACCACTTGGGTATCAGAGAAAGGGCCAGAAGAACCAAAAGAAAGAATCCCAAGCCCTAGCTGTTTGCGAAGAGTTCTTGGAGGGGTTTGGTTTATCTCGTTTTGTTTGATTTGGACGGGAGTTCGGGCTTTTTAGTGTTTTTGTTGGTTTTGTTTTTTGTTCTTTGTGTCCGCCCGGTGTTTTGCTTTTTCCGATTGAGATTTCGGGGTGGGCCAGTTTCCCGTGCCTTTTTGGTTGCTTCAAAACAGCAACAATGAGTAAATACAGTTCCCATATGTCCAGGCTTGTTGTTCAATCAGGGCATGGTTCCTTTTTCAGTTTCCTTCTCGATCATTTCCGTGCTTCCGAAAGTAATGAGTGGAGCGGTGGTCTGTTGGGCAGATTTGCTTGTGGACTTCAGCTTTCACTGTTGTTTGCAGCCAAAATCCAAGTTATTGGCACGCTTTTCCACGCTACCACAGTTGCGACCTCAAATCCGTGAAGGTTCCTGACTGGCATTTTGGAGCTGCCCCAGGAATTTCATCGTGTTGCCACGTGGTTAAAGAGCCTCTATTCACCCCAGTTGTTCAGTCGCACCCCTTCTCCCTTTTTTGGTTGTATAGTTCAGCGTTCCCTACCTTTTTGCGGTCAATCGAAAACATGTGTTCCTTCCACAGGGTTCATTTCCCTTTTTGGAACCTTACAGTGACGCCCTGTAGTGGCTTGCTGAGATATCGCCAGTGGAGAGAGATGGGGGTTGATCCATCTTCCGTTCGCCTCGGCCAGTTTCGACCATGTGTGACCCCATCCCAGTAAATTGACCACTTTCCCTCCCACCAATTTCCATGGAACTTGACGTTCAGGGGGTAGTGGAAGTATCCGACGATCCTTTCAATGGACACCACCAGCAAATTGCTTGACAAAGTGGAAATATCCAGTGACCCCGGGTTCTACCCCCCCAAAAAAAAATCGACTTAGGCAGCTTTCAGCTGTCGCTGGATGATCAGCTCCCAAACTCCGTGCAGGCACCGAAAGATTAAACAAGTCGAATCCCATGTGCGCCAGAATCAAAACCCGGGCGATTCAGTCGAGTTGCTGGACTTTTTGGGCACTTTTTGGGTCTGGACCTTTTTCTAGTGGCAAACAGACAGTTTCTTGACTTGTTTGGCCCGGCCACTCAGGAAGTGAGGATTCTCCCAACCATATATATATATATTTATTTATTTTCATTCCTTACACACGTGTTTGGATAGACCAGTTTAATACCCGGTTTGATTTTGATTGTGACCATGGAAGGGTTCACTGGAAACACTTTTATGTTGCAGATGGAAGGTCTAGGAAGGTCTAGGAAAGTTTAGGAAGGTTTCGGAAGGTTTAGGAAGGTTTAGGAAGGTTTAGGGTAGACGAACTATGGAACAGAGTCAGAAAGCATGAGTCACAATAACCCCCAGGAAGTTGGCCACAAATGGGTGCGGCCACCTTTTCAATTATTGACATGGTTTTGGGTAGGCCATTTATTTGTTTGTATCCTTTTTGTGGGCCAAGGGTGGGGTTCAAAGGAAAGCCAAAGGAAACCATGGGATCTTGTTCAGAGGGTTGCCCTATGTCAAAGAAGCAACTGACAGCTAAGTTAAGCAGAGGTTGGGAAAGCATCTAGGAGATGATCCTTAGTGCTCTTCGGGTAGACAAAATCCATTTCGCCCCACCATTCAGAAACCCTCGTTTCTGATGATTGGCCTGTAAATACCAACAAACAATGGCTTCAACCATGGTTTCTTTTTTTAATGTGGTGCAGGAATTTGGTCCATCCACAGTTTTTTTCACTTCGTTTCCTGTGTGGTTCTGATCAAGCAATGACCGATGGTGGCAAGGTGCAGCTTCATGGCCCCCCAGAGAACAGATCACCAGGCTGCCGGCACTGGCGTCCCTTGTTCATTTGGGTCTGTCTCACGACCAAACATGGCGGTTTGCCTTTTGGTCGTTCTTGAAACCAACCCCAAAAGGGTGTACCATATACCCCTCAAAAAAACGACGCACTCATTTGGGAAGATTGCTCCAGAATCTGTGGAGCAATCCTGAACAGTGGCCCCGGCAGGGGCTTTCTGCCGTGCTCCCCAAATTCGGGGGCCTTGCTTCTCCCTTGGAAATCCACGGCTTTGGGAGACTGAATCACTTGGCTGGAATTCTACCTCGGTCGACCGGATCCCTTTCTTTGAATTTCTCATCCAGGTCTTTGGGTATGGAATTGTTCTGCTTGAGATTGATCAGAGTCATTATGTTAGAGGAGCTCATTAGATAAAACAGTGTACCTATATAGAGCCTTCATGACCCTTCAAAACTGAGTCCATGACCCCTTATTTTTTGGTAATGACCCCATGCTTTAAGGGTCCGAAGGACACTCCAGGTATATATGTTGATTGGTGTCATCAGGCTTGGCCCCTCTTCGGGCACTGTGATGGGAAGTCCTCCCATGCTTCTTTGATACCTTCAAAGAAACATGTGCCGGGCGAGGTACTTTTTTGGGCTTTTGCTTGGAAGCATTTGGTTGGCATGCTGCTGCGTGGCTAGGTGTTTGTTGCGCCGCCTTCAGTATGAATGCCAATGCAATCTTAGCAGTGGATCATAATCTACATATATATATATATATAGATGTGTCTTAAATTAAAACAGGGAACCCTCCCCCCAAAAAAAAAACACATGTTGGTGGTCCTTTTGGTTTCCCTGTAAAACCACTCAGTTTTGGGGTACCCTCAGAACGTGGGACCGAGCCATATTTTGTTGCCCGTGGGCCCTATGGTTTGGCCATTCGTTTCCTTTCAAGGGTCGAATCACATGAGGCAGTAGCTGTGCCCGGATTCCAGTTGTCACTATAGGTAGGCAACGATGTTCCTTTTTGTTCTTCACCGGGTCCCTTGGTTGCCTTTTTTTTCCGGACTTCCATGGCGGTGGGTTAAGACTAATGGAGCCATCTTGGGGTAGGTGCACCTCCATTTTGGTCTATATTGTGGGGATTGGGATGTTCACTGGATGTTGGTACGGGGTTTTGACCCATGGCCAAATCACTTTGCGCAGGAGCCCAAGCACGACACCCTGGACGCAGCAAAGCTATCGCTGGGCGAGCAGTTGCAGCGCCTCGAGTTTCGATCCCCGCCAGCGCAGCCGCAGCCGGCGACGTTAGGTCGCGCGGCGCGCGCGACCTTATCCTTCGCGCAGTCCCGGCGCGCGGCGGACAACGCTTGGGCAGCTGCCGACAAGCTCCCTGGCCTTTGCTTGTACATGGGCATGCGTCAAAGCAACGTGCGGTTCTCGTTTCGGTTCCACCTTGAAATTAAGACAAGCTGAAAACTGCTGCTGGAAACTAGGGAGGTGAGCTACCACCTTTCGCAACATGCTGGAACTGGATTTGCGAAGTTATTTATTGTCAGGGTGGATGTATTTCACGTGATTGGCTCTTCTGATCTGAATACCAAACTTGGGGAGAAGATTGGCTTTTTCCAGTTTGCGTTTCGCCATGGTAACCAGGTAGACCTAGTTTTACATCATGGTTCCCCTGGTTAGCCAGAGTGGCGAAACGCGTCGGGGGCTTCCTTTGCCCCTCACCCACCTTGGGTCGAATGGAAAAGCCCTGCCAGGCCGGGCCTTCTTCATGGTTGTTGGGAAGCATTTTACATGTTTTCTTCTTGTGTGGTTGAAATCCAAATCCACTGAGCTGCTCAAGTCTGATGAACTGGTTGCTCCCCAAACCCAACCGTCTTTGCTTTTGCCTTGGCTTTTGGCTGCAGATGAAGCAAGAAGGCCTGAAGAGATGGGATGACACGTCCCTTTGGTTTCGACTTGACACACCCCATAGGTCCCCCAGCAATTGGTGCCCGACCTCTCACCGTAACTTTTTGGGTTGGGAGATTCGGCTCGACACGAAAATAGTATACAGAAGAAGGCTGGTACACTTATTCTAACCTCGCAAAACTGGAGGACCTAGCATATGTTCTCAAGGAAAGTGTTGACCTGCGCTTCATGTTTACCCTGCCAAGCCTTGTGGCTAGAGTTGTTCAAATCCTTCTCTTGCCACACACACACATATGGCTGTGGCTCAAAATTAAAGAGCCAGGGTTACGCATGTTTTAGTCTTTGGTTCCATCTACCAAGGTGCCATTTTGGCACGTGTTTTTGAGCCACAGCCATACACACACACACGTGATGGTCGAGGATTCACGGCCCCCTTGCGAGCCAATGCAAATCAAGACATCGTATCATGCTGTCCAGGGCCTCACTTTTGCACTGAACATGCCGACCAGGACTCATCCCAAGCTGGATGACAGGGCTAAAACATATGACGCGGATCGATCATTCTTTCATCTGAACTTTGTTTTGAAAGTCCCCCTCTGATTGTTTGGGCCCTCTTTCATCTGGAAGAACCCTTTGTTGTCAATGCCCGCAGTGAATTCTTTGGCAACAGTGTTGGACTAAATTGAGGGGGCAGCAGGCCCAAAGTGGGACTGCAAGGTCTCACAACATACACGGAAGTTGCCTTCGAAACAGGCAGGGCATTCTTCTGCATTCAGTATCCATGCACAAATCTCCTGTGGGTTTCCTTTTCTTTCTTTTGAGCAGTTTCCCTGCGTACCAAAAAACGAGATGACTTGGTGCGGCCACGCATGGAACTGCCGCTCGGTCCCCAAAAGGGGCATTCTACGTCACGTTTTCGGCACCAGTTTCTTTAGGGGTGTGGACGTATTTCAGCGTGAATTGCTTGAACAATCACAAGAGTGCGACCCCTTTTGGAAGATACTGAAACCTGTTTGATCCCAATTGGTGGGAAGTGGATAAGTAGACTTTGCCCATTCATTATCAGCCTGTTCACGAGGGTTTGCTTCTTTTCTTTGACGGTGTCCAGTTTGGGGTTGCTTTCAAAGGAATCAAACAAAACCAAAGGCATTTTGCTCTTGAGTCCCACTTCGAGGCTATTTGCTGCTGCCAAGCTAGAGACCACCCGAGATGCTGTTGAGCGAGTGGAGAGGGCCGTGGCGAACGCAAGGGGTCAGAAGGAGAGGGGAGGTGTCTCGGGGTCGCTCGTGAGAACGTGGGCTGCTCAATGCTTTAGGGGTGGTTTCTTAATGAAGGCAACTGGTGTGAACACAAGCACCAACAGCTACAATTTAAGCAAAAGCATCAACACATTCGCCAACATCAACAGTCAATCCAATCATGAATACTGTTGAACCACAAAATGGGTTTGTCTCAATAGGTGACCCCCAAAATGGTTAGTGTTGGTTTGGTTTCCCTTTAGAGCAACCCGAAAACGGGTACTGTACCCTCATTTCAACAACCGAGCGCGCTCGATTTGGGTGTTGCTTTCAAGGACCACCCGAGACACATTTCAGAGGCTTTATCCTCTTTTACCAACAACAAAGGCGACCTAAACCGAGTACTGGCCTGAGTTCCTGGACTTTAAACTTTTGGGAAGACCACCAAGCAGTGGTAACTCAGAAGCTTGTTTTTGTTTGTTTGTTTCGCCAATGAGAATCTGTTCAGCGAATTGGTTCAATGAGACCAAACTCAAGCCCAGAAAGTCGGATCTGACATCTGCTCAGGCGAATGACTTGGCTTAGTGACTGGCTATTCACATGGCAGTGGCTCAAAAAAATGGAATCCCAAAATGGCCCCTTGGTAAATGGAAACAAGGACTAAAACCTGCGTAACCCAAGCTCTTTAATTTTGAGCCACACCCAAATACGGCCTCCCCAACCATTTTCAGTTGACTTGGGGAGGCCGGTTTTTTGGTTCAGCCACTAGGTCCATACCAGGGTCCAAGGCTGGCCCGTTTGATTGGCATGGTCCCATTTGGGGATTGGCCGCTTGAGATCGCAAGTCGAATGTTCGACAACCAGATGGGTGCTTCTTAAAATTGGGGACCCCTCCAGGCATGGTTGTCGTTGGGAATCCCCACTTAACTACTAAAATTTGAATTGTAGCTCCCCTTCCAACGTCAACCAAGCAGGCAGGTGGTGTCCTTTTGTTTTTTTTTCTAGGTCCCAGCGGTGCCCTTCTCTCCCCTTTTCTTGGGGGGGAGGGCAAGCGCCTACTAAAATAGACTGCAGAAAAAAAGAAAGGGTACCTGATTCTAACCTGTCTACTGGAGGACCTAGTTTTGAAACCATCAAAAACGCGGTCCCCTATTCTGAGACACATTCATATGGGTGTTCTTAACATAGGGGTTCCCCAATGTTGACCCCACATTTAATCGACCCCAGTTTACTAATACGGGGGGGGGGGTGAGGGCCACTCCAAAAGCGATGATTCCCCACTAAACCCAGGGACACCCCCCTATTAGTACCCCGGGGTTGATGAATATGGGATCAGCATTAGTTGGATGGTTTTGAGGGGACACCACAAGGAAGCAACCCACCGGAAGCGGTCACTAATTTTGAGAAACACCCATATGAGGGTTCCCGGTAAGCATGGCAATGACTCGCACCTGCCCATGGCGTATAAATATGATTGACTCACTCCCTGAGTTCCTGGACTTCATACTTGTTGAGAAGATGCATTTCAATTGCAGACAAACAGCTTGGACCTTTCTTGGCCAATCCACTCAGGAAGTAAGTTGAACATGAGTTGTATCTCCTTTTTGTCTAGGATACTATTCACTTCTTTGGCGCGAATGCGGCTTGATATGACAATCAAATTCGACTGTTCGGTAGATGAAGGCGGAGGGAAGCGACCCAACTTCACCAAGGTGTGCGGCATTCGGATTCTTCACCAAAATTTGGGTTGACTCGCTTCATATCATGTGGGTATGTGTTTTTGGGGAAATCCCCTCTTGGTTGTTTTGAACGGCAATGCAAAGGAGACCAATCTTTGGAGGTCCCATGAGACAATTCCCATGAATTGATTGGTCCAACTGGGGGAATCGCTGCCAGGGATCGACAAAAAACCGACTTGGATGACGGGCAAACCCGGGCGGCTTAAGAATTCCTAGCAAGGGATCGATCCTGGCAACAGGTTTACGGAGCCGGTTTTGAAAGTGGGAGCATATTCCTGTGCAAAGGGAATCTCAGCATGCCACAGAAACTGGGGGGGCGGGGGGGGGCCCTGCGCTTTCTGGGTTTCGATATCGTCGGTTTGGCCAGTTTTGATTGAGTTTCCGTTTTGGTGGGGCGATGCTTAAAGGGATCTATGTGTTTTCCTTGCTTCAAGGAATACGACGTGTCCCAGGGTTGCCTCCCAGCCTTGGACAAGTTTCCTTTGCTTCCCTAAACCAGCCAATATCTCTACTTTTGTGATCGGATCTTTGGAATTCTGGCAATGCTGACCCCATATGAATCCACCCCAGTTTATTTGTAGGGGGGGTGGTTTTTGGCCCCTCCAAAAGTGAGGATTCCTCACTAAACCCAAGGACACACCCCCCTGATTATGAACAAACTGGGGTTGATTACCCTTCCTCCAAACATGGCACCTGTGGGGAGGTACCTGGAAGAATCATTTCCTTTTGAAGAGAGCCCCTGTCAGTTGCCATGTTAGTTGGAGGGAGGGTAATATTATCACTCGAATTAGACTCTGAGGATCTGGACCTCGCCAGACTAATCTCTCGACAGCCGTTCCTAAGCGACCAACCTGCAGGGTAGAGCACGAGGCGAGTTTCCCGTCCTTTGCTTTCAGTGTCAGCTTGCCTCCCCCCTGCAAAATGGGTCTTCCAAGGAACCCGGTTTTTTCCTGGACCACTTTTGCCCGAAGCTAAGTGATAAACGTGGGGATGATCTTACCACATCCCGGTTCACCCCGAACCGAACACGGACCCAAAGATGGTTCCCGTTTTCTTCCGTCCCTGACGCGTCTCACTTGTTCTGGTTCAAAGTGAAACCAAACTAGAAGGTAGCCAGCTATTTTCCTTTTGGTTGTTACACTGGGTGGTTCCCTTGTTTGCCTACTCTTCAGATAAAATGGATCCACTGGGGTATAGAAAGCCAGACTGAATTCGCTTCCCATTTTCTCCGAAGCTTCCTCGCGCCTTCTTTTTGTGCCACGCGTTTGTCCAGGACCAGATCCCTGGCCATGAGTTCGCCGGCCTGCAGGCGCGCTCGCGCGGGGGTCGCTTCTGGTGGGTCATGTGCAGGCAACCAGAACTAAGCAACCAAGCAAGCAAGCAACCAACCAACGAACCAAGCAGAACCAACTGGACCAGCACTCAGGAAGTCAGGATCAATCCCAAACGTAAATGGTTACGAGTGAGGGCAAGATCTTTCCAGGAGTAACTTATCATGATGCTTAAACTATCATCTCTTTTCAGCAGCAATCCAGTTCCCTCGGTTGAAGGCACCATGGACATCTCACTGGGTGTGACTTGTTCATGAGGCACCCGAGAAACGTGGAGGTTCATGTCCACCAACTTGTTTGTCCTTGCTTTTTATAGGGGAGGTGGGCTAAGGATTGCCCTGGGCGCAAAACATGGCGACGCGGTTTCAAAGGCTTATTCCTTGCACAACAAATGAAAGAAGGAAGAAACTGTAGCCTCATTTGGGAGCCTAACATGTTCTCGGAGAAAACTCTCTAGAGCCCATTAGAATGGAGTTGTGGGGTACCGAGCTTGGTCATTACTGGAGTCAGTCTCCGAAGATACGTTTCGGCAACCTCCAAACGTTGTCAGGTGGTAGCCACAAGGGCACTTCAGGTGTGGACCACCCTTGGATCGTGCTGGTCGTTTTTGTTTTTTGTTTGTTTTCTCCGAGCAAAATGGCTACGGAGTTGCCAATGCACTTTCGTCACAGCAGATATGTTTGTTGGGTGTCATGCCAATGCGGATGTGTTGAGCTGCGCATTATCGGATTGGCTTGGGCAAATTCATTGACGAGCTCTCCGATTCAATGATAAAGCGAGCTCATTGTCATGATGAAGGTCCTTTGCGTTGGGCTTTCATTGGCTGTAATGTGGGTATGTGTGAAAATAGGGGACCCCAATCATGGTTGTTGTCCCTTTGGTTTTCCTGGAAAACCGCACCACGGGTACACACACACACACACACTTGGGGCGCTTGTCTTGTTCATGTATGTGTGTGGTCTCCCTAGCCTCTTGAGTTAAGGTCTGTTGGCGTGGTCTGAAGTGTTCTACGAGGATTCCACAGCGGATGCCCAAATCTTGTGGCGTGGTTTTTCAAAGGAGCCCATGTCGAAAACCTGTTCCTTATAAGCATGAACCACAATGGACTGGATGAGTTTGCATAAGACAAAGCAAGCTTGACTTCCTATTTTACTTGACTGCTATTGGGTTGGATCTTTAGACTTTAACTTTGTGGGAAGTAAAGGTGTTTTCCACTAAACCCCCAAAAAGTTAAACTTGTTGCAGGGGGGTCACCGGCAACCAAAGTTTACAATCCCTCAGCGGCAAGGCCGGATTGAAATCCCCGAAACATAATTAACCAGTCCCTCTAACAACAACCCAACACTCCCGTTGCCAGGCCCCTCCTGCAGCATGGTGCTCAGAGGGCCGCGGGCAAGATGTGTGACTGCTTGCTTCCATTGTCCCTGTTGGGTGGTGAATTCACCCAACCAGAATGGGGTCCAAAACGGTTTTGACAACCACGGCCATGTGACCACCACCAACCCCTTCTTCGATTTCACTACTGGACATATTTTCTCATTTTTTCCAGGGGACTTGAGCAAATGGAGGGTGGCTTTAGTTGGGGCAACGGTTGGTATCAATCTGGCCGGCCGAGTCTTGAGCGTCGAAGCTCAAAAGTGGTTGGATGGAGAACGCCGGTGCAGGATGTGTCCATCAATATCAACGGGTCTTGGACCAAGGTAAAGGTTCCCATTGAGGGAATCATGCCACCGCAATTCAGGAGGTTTTGGCTCATGGCACATGTGAGCGTTGACCCCGGTGGCTTGAAATCACCAGTCGGTTGCCAATGTTGGAATGATCGAGCTTCGCCTTGATAGGGTGAGGTTGAAAGAGGGCATATTTGAGAGAAGGGCATGTTAAATGCTCTTTGTTGTTCTGCTCGTGTTTCAGTGGGGGCTGCAAAGAACAATGTGCCACCGGTTTTCCACAAAGTGGGACAACCTTGTAGGTAGCCCTGAAACCGCCTAATTTTAGAGGCGCAGAGGCAGGAAATTGAGGGAGGACCCTTACTGAACTGTCCAAAAGCAAGAATCCTTGACCTGAGGGTTCCCCCAGGATTTGGCCCCTTTTAGTGTTTCCCGACAGGGGATTTTGGGAAACTCGGAGTGGCCAACGCGTTTGAGGATATGGCCTGGGGGATGTATGATTGGTGACCCCCCGCTAAGTCTGTGTGTGATTGTTTTGAGGGCATCCTTTGCAGGGATGGCTTGAAACAGAAGACCAGGGCACATTTCAAGGAGTTCCCGAGTTTAAGTTCTCAGTGTGTCGTTAGCAGTCAAGAACCCATTTGGGTCTGTGTTTTTTTACCGTGTCAGTTCTTTAGTCTTCGTGGGAGGTGGGGCTTGGGCGAGCCATACCCCCGAATCATACCCCGAACCATACCCCCGAGCCATACCCCGAGTCATACCCCTTAAAAAACACAAAAAAAAGAACTTGCAAGAACTGTGGCATTTGCATGTGATCCATGGATAGCTGGAAGCTATAGGGGGTTTAACTTCAAGTGAAGAAGGGGGTCTTGTCAAGAAACAGTGTTAGAGAGCTTGACATGTGGACCGATGCCAGGGGGTAGGGACTCCGAGGTAATACCTGGTTCACTTGTGGTTCCTGGATCTATTCTTGAGTCTGCGATGCTTGCATGGTTGGGCTCTGATGTCATGGGGCCAAGTACAGTTGACATGTCCACTCACACACTCACTGGTTACTCGTGGGGGGCCATTTTGGCTCAAGTCGTGTTCCTTGACACTCGGTTACCCACCTGTCTCGGCTTGCTATGGAAAGTGCCAATGGATGGAGGGATGGAGCAATCCTGCGAATGTCCTGGTACTAGAGTTGTCTGTAGCATCCGTGGTGCTGTGGCGGGGGGGTGCAGCTTGACGTAAGACGCTGGGACTTGCAGGGCGCTGTGGGGGGGGTGCCGCTGCTGAGCTTGAAACTTGGAGCTTGCTTCCTGCGGTCTGTCCGACGCGGTGGAAACAGCTGTCTGTCCTGGGCCACTGTCGCAGTGAAACACAAGCTGTCTTTGTGCTCCTAGGGCGCTCTTGGCGTCTGTCCGGTCGAAAAAATCTGTCCCCGATTCATACCCCCGATTCATACCCCCGATTCATACCCGATTCATACCCCGATTCATACCCTTCTGCTGCCACTTGCAGCCAAGAGCCTCTTGCGCTCTGGGCAATACTAGCGAAGCTATGCCGCCCAAATCCTCAGAAGCAAGTCAAAGAGAAGCACTGCAGGAACCAGCTCGCGGCTCTTTTCGCAGAAGTTTGCCAGAAGGTGGGTTCGGAAGGCTTACTGCGATGTATCAAGCGCGACACGGCGCACCACCTGTGAGAGGCCCACTAGCCCCTGCGCGGCTGCCGTTTGAGGATGTCACGCTGTCTTGCCCTTACGCTGGTTCGTGACTGGTGCGGGTGGCGGGCCTGACTGGGCAGCGGCGCTTCCCCTTAAGCAACGCGTGCTTGGGTCTGTGAGCACGCGGGTCGCTTGAACTCCAAGTGGACCTGGCCATGACGTTCGCCTCAGGCACTGGCTCTGCGCCTTCCACCTAGCGCAGCAGCTTTCGCTAACCCACTCACGCAGAGTGGCAGCTGTCTAGTTCAGGCCACTCACAAGCGCCCCAGGCTGGCTTGTAGCAACTAATTAAGCGGTCCAAATTCTCACGGCTGTCCAGTCGCCAGCGCACGGGAGCTTTGCAGTGTCCAAAGCCACAAAGCAAGAGTTCAGAGGCGCGCGAGCCATACCCCGAATCATACCCCCGAGCCATACCCCGAACCATACCTGCGATTCATACCCCTTATACCAACCTCCCGGCACGGCCACGTCAAAAAAACACACACCCATTTGTTCAATGCAACCCTTGAATTCCCTTTGTGGTTAGTGGGGTTCCCGCCCAAAATCCACAGTCCCTAAATGAATTGATTCGTGCCTGCCACAGTTACAAGCCACCTGGCATAACAGAGTATCTGATTCCCTCATCAAGGTACATTATCTGGGCACCCTTACGTCGACTGAAACCCCACAGATGTCATCGGGGGCATTCAACAACAGTTGTGGCGTGGTCAATATATGTCTCTTGTTTCGCCCAGTAGGTGGCTGGACTTCTCGCAGCCTCCATAAGCAAATCAAAGGGCATTTTTTGGAGGACCTGAAACAGCGGTTCGGCGTCCTTTCGCTTGCAATATTTTGTTTGGGCAGAAAACCCAACCTCAGAAACCCATCCCCCCCAACCCCATCCCCCGCACCCATCCCCCCCACCCCATCCCCAGCCCACCCCCAACCCCCCACGTCACCCAGGCGGGGGACATCCATCCCTGCAGCTCAGACTGCAGCCAGCAGGGCATGTGCCTCGCCGGGAAGTGCCTTTGCAACGAGGGCTTCTATGGCGAGACCTGCGCCTCAGCGCGGCAAGTGACGGGCAACCGTGGAGCGTGTCTTAAAATCAGGGAACTCCAAATGAGGCACGTCCTCAACACCGATTTGATTCGGGTAGATGAAGGTTAGTAAGGGATAAATAGTTGTGGCCGCCTTTGTATTTCCTTACATGGTTCTGGGTCAACCATTGTTATTCCGTTGTTTTTTTTTGTAACTCAAATTGGGTTTCCATTTGGCTCCCCTCCCAAACACCCCTCCCTTAAAAGGCTTGCTCAAAAAAGACACGCCTGTATGGGCGTGTTGTGGAGTTGCTACCTGTTTTTTTGTGTGGTTCGCCAACAGGAAAACCAAAGCCATTTTGGTAGATCCCCTTGAACAAACCATATTCTTATAAGTTTCTCAGAGGTTTTTAGGCTACCCACATGGAACCTAGCAGAGGGTCCCATTTTGAAGGAATGTTGTTTGCCCAGTCAGATTCCATGCTGGACAGGGCAACTTCTATGGGTTACCCCCGCCTGGACGACATGGGCATTGAAGCCATCTCCCACCCCGGCGGGGGGAGGGGGGGGTTCCCAAAAAGGATGGCCCTGGGAAGTGGGCCGGACACCCACCCTTCAATTGTTTGGTAAGAGAAAAGGGAGGAAAACAACAGTCCTACGGTTGTCAACCCCCCCCCTCCATAGAAGGCCTCCCCTCAATTCCAACAGGGGCTAGCGACTAAGAGGCCTAGGGGCTACTACAGAGGGTCCCTTGAAGAGGAAATTGTTCTTCCAGGTAGCCTCCACAGGTACGATATGTTTGTGGAAGGGAGGGCAATAGGATACCTTGCTGCCTTGGTTGGGTCCTGTCGGGTTTGTCTTCTTTTTGGGTACCCCCCCCAAAAAAAGGTAGTTTCCTATTTGGTTTCCATTAAAAAACCCACCAACATATATAAACACACACCCGCGTACCGATTTTTCCAGAACTCGAGCGTCAGGCGAACATCGGCGGTGCCTGAACGACTGCAGCGGCAACGGCCAGTGCCATGCAGGCGATGAACTTTGCGTCCCCAGGAAAAACCGAGGGGAATCCTTTAAACTTGGTGGCTCCCAGGAAGGCCATTTGGTGCCGAGTGCCCACTAACAACCCAAACCAAGAATTCGGGGCTCCCGGTGGAACGGGTGCGGAACCACATCAGGAAGGCCATCCATTTGGTGCCGAGTGTCCACTAACAACCCAAAGAATTCGGGGCTCCCGGTGGCTGGCTGAGGTGGCTTGGAGGTCAGATGGACACGATACAAAACTTGGTGGCGAAGCCAGCCATCCGGTTCCTTAGTTTTTTAGATCCTTTTAGTGTTTAGCGGTAGTTTCCAAATTTAACCCACTAGCAGTTTTTAACTTTTAGCGGGGGATCTGAGGGCAGCCCGAAAAAGTTGGCCACTACTTCCTTGGCAAACTGCAGCTGATTCAAGTAGGTGTGTTCTTCTTAACCTGGGTGGGGACCCCCCAAAATGGCAACAGCCCCCTTTCTTTTGGTGTCCCAAACAAAAGCCCACCAACATGGCAAGAGAGAGAGAGAGAGAGAGAGACAGAGACTCGTTTTGCCAGGTCAGTGCAGATGCTCAAAGAACTACGGGGGCCAGGAGGGGTAACCGGCCGGGTTCGGGGGTTGATGAGATGATGTTGATGTGGGTGTCTGAAAATGTGGACCCCCTTTTAGTTGGCATATATGTATAGAGAAGGAAGCCAAAAGGAGATCGACCATTTTAGGGGACCCCGTTTTTGAGACCCCCATGTGTCCACATGAAAGAGGGCGCCCTGGATCAATGCTTATTTTTGACATAGAACACGGCCCATGAAGGCTTGGTGTTGTCTTCCCCATGTAGATAATTTCGCCAGTGGGGGAAAATGGAGAAGCCCTCTCTTAGGGGTCCCTTTCTTTCCCACCAAATGTACCAACAGGGGCAAACCCTACACTTTGCGGCCAGAAGAGGTCGTCCACAAATGGTGAAGTCCGCACCCGTGCGTTCCAAGGGTTTGGTGAAGAGCAACTTTTAATTGAGTACTAAAATAGACTACAGAAAAATGTTGGTACCCTTATTCTATCCTCTCTACTGGAGAACCTAGGGTATGGGTATGGTTCCAGCCGTCTCAAATCTGGGAGCAATTCGTGTGGTGTCCTAAGGGGAACTGGAGACCAATCATTTCAAGTGTCCAGGAGCTTAAGAATAGGTCCCCCAGTAGTGCCCTGTCTCACCCTTTTTTGGGGGAGGGTTCCCCTACTAAAATAGACTACAGAAAAATGTGGGCACCCTTGTTCTATCCTCTCTACTGAAGAACCTAGGGTATGGTTTGAGCCGTCTCAAATCTGGGAGCAATTCATGTGGTGTCCTAAGGGGGGCCAAGTGCAACTGGAGACCAATCATTTCAAGTGTCCAGGTGCTGAAGATCAGGTCCCCAGTAGTGCCCTTTCTCACCCTTTTTTGGGGGAGGGTTCCCTTACTAAAATAGACTACAGAAAAATGTTGGTTATGGTTCGAGCCGTCTCAAATCTGGGAACAATTCGTGCGGTGCCAAGTGCAACGGGAGACCAATCATTTCAAGTGTCCAGGTGCTTAAGAAGATGCATTTTCTTCCCTGGTGGTTTGAATGGGAATCGTTGACTACCGAATTTGTTCTTGTTCCACGGGATTTAAGTACATGGAGAAAGTTGTCCCTATGTCAACCTGTAAATCGGATGAAGCGTAGTGGTCGAATGCACTAGCATATTACTTGCAAGGATGACGTGTTGGAACATGGATGTTGGAATCTGTCGATTCTTCAAAGGCTGGTACCTCCCTTTGCCCGCATTGCTCCAACAATGTTTGGGAGTCGGAAGCACTTCAAATGTGTTGGACAGAGTCATCCCCACCTAAGTGACGTCGGGTAGTTCAAGCCCATTCGGATATTTTCCAACTAGTCCTTGAAACCGAGTCTTCCCTTAAAACCTAGACCCAGTTTTGTATAGCGAGCGGTAGGTAGCCCAAAATTAGCGTATAGCGAGCGCACCTGGGGGTATCACGAGCTCACCATGATAAAGTTCCTTTACTTGGGGGATCCCCTAAGTCAGCTTTTGGGATTATAGCATGATTTGCACAACGATGGTTGCTTAGGGCAACTTTTTGGACACAACTGGTACCAAGGCCTAACACAGGAGTGGTATGACGATTCGGCCACTGCGTGACCGAACCGCTCCGGATAGAATAATCTTTGGAAGCACATTGTTTGTTTTATACTAAAACAACCCCATGCTGTTCGAAGCCTTTCTGGTGTTCAACCTTTTTGGTTGCTTGTGTTGTGCCAGTGCTACAGCTTTGGAGTTTCACTGCCTCGTTTTATAGGTGGACGACATCGATGGTTCTGGAGTCAAGGAATGAACCACCTGCTGAAAGACCTTGCGCAGTGCTTCCAGGCAAGCCACTATAGTAGGTAATTATGTGTTTTTACCTCGCGGTTTTACTGTGGATGGGGAAAACTGCTGGACAAGCCTAGTAGTGGCGAAAAGCCTGGAAGCATTTGGCTACTTTTGTACATGGGGAATATATATATATATATATTGTTTTTCCCCAACAGCTGAAAGCTTTGGGGTCTCAGCCCAGATAGGATCCGGGGTGGTCCGGGGCGGCCTTGAGGTAAGGTTCCACGAGGGTTCCACCAGGGTTCCACCAGAGTTCCACCATGGTACCACCAGGGTTCCACCAGGGTTCCACGAGGTTCTGCGAGGGCTGCGGGGTGGTGCGAGCACTAAAAAGAGCACCGCATGCTGTTGGGGATATCACCTGAGCTTATTCAATAGAAAGGTTTGGGGGGTTGTGACATGATGGGCCCTAGTTACAAGGGTTTACAGGGGCTCCATCTAAAGATACGAGCTCTCTACTGGAGGAACTAGTTGAGGGAACCAAATCCAATAGGACAATAGGAGACTGAGTCGCGCAGAAGGACTGTTCCCTGCTGCAGACGGCCCAGACAGAGACGCAAGCCTCATTGGCAGCCATGCTGACGCGAGGCCAGGTGATCCAAGACCTTAGGGCTATTTGGAAAGGTCCGAAAACATAGGATGTCCACTGGGGCAAACCACTAAACAAGTCACGTTTGCCACTAGATTGAAAAGTTACACATGGTCATCTGGGGGCCAGGAATATTGATCAACCCCCATTTGGCAACGGATCTTTGGACCTTAACTTGGTTGAAGCAGCTCGGATTTTCCATACCCCGCAAGAAGCTAAAAACAATCTGTTGCAGAGGTATCAGCCGCCGGCAACCAAACTTTGGCGGCTAAACCAGAGCTTCCCATTCGGGAAACATGCTTTCGAGCACTAACGTGAGTGTCCCTTTGGCGCTGTTTTCCCACAGGTAGGGAACTGTATAAAGCGCAAAGGGTAGAACATGATTTTGTTTCCTGTGGCTTGACTCAATCTAGACTTCAACTTGGCATATGTCGTGGAAATGTGTTACTGATGAAACGAGCTCAAGCGTATTGTCAGGTGTGGGTTTTGAAGTTACCACCAATACAACCTGGCAAAGCTGTATCGGGTGTTTCCCCTTCAAAGGACTCCAGCAGGTGTTCGACAACACGCCATATGGCGATTAATTTCAATAGGGAGACACCTGCAAAGTTCTTGGTGGATATGACTCCCCACCCAGATGATGTCCACGAAAGGGTCTCCTATTAAAAGTCGTACCCATACTACCATGCTCAGCGCGAAAAAGAGACGCAGAGATTGAATCGGACCTTCGCACGGCGTTTGATATGATTCGGCATCCCCCATCGAGACATCAAGGCTTATTTCGAGTGGTCTGCAAGGTGTTTTGTGTTTTTTTGTTTTGCGATGGAGGGACCCATCACCGTGATCTACGCTCTAGTCATGTGGAATGCCCGAACTGTGGATTCATCTTAAACGGATGGAAACCGCTTTTGAGCTCAACTGTGAAATTCAGCATCCAGAGTGTTTTTGGGACGCAACTATGGCTTTGTCGGGGTCAACAAAATGTCAAAAAGGTCACGCTTGCAAGGGGGGAAGGGGGGTATAACTTATGACCTAACCAATCAACGGGTATGGATGAACGCGTCGATTCGTTTTGGGATCTGGGTGGTTTTTAGAGCCACCCCTGGTTCTTGTCGAGTGTAAATGGGAAACCACCCCAGCTCCACAACTCCGAACCATCCGAACCAGGGTAAATCTGACGCCGAGAAAGCCAAGACCAAAAACGAGATCTACCAACAAGAGCCCCTCAATCTTTTATTTGCTTAAATATATTCTTTATTTTCTCTTGTTGGTTTTACAAGGAATGTATCACTACTAGAAATATTTTCATTTTTTCTTCCAGGGGTCTTAACCAGATGGAAGTAATTCAAACAACCCCGAACCAACCTGATCGTAAGCCTGTTTACAGCCCTCTGAAGGGACCACGGCTTCTGTGGGTTATCTCGTAGTTACCCACTGAACTTCCAGAGGCCCCTTGAACCTTTAACTCGCTGGTGCAGGGATTTGTTTCATATGTTTTCAGTTTTTTGTTGCTTCAGGTTCATTCCCTGCATGTCCCCGCTCGCACCAGCAAGTGAAGTACCTTCAACCTGGGAGCTGAGCCTCGCGCCTCGCGACAGTCTGGTGCCTCGAGTCTGGAGTCTCGTTCGTCGGTTAGGCCTTGCCGCGGAGAGCGAGGAGCTGGCCAAGCAGGTGAAGGAAGCCAAGGAGCCCAAGGCGGGAGCGCCAGGCCGTTTGAACTTGTGACTTGACAGCTAGGTCCTGGGTCCCCCAGCTAGGTGCCCGCTCTTTTACCCCTTTTTGGTTGGGAGGGTTGTAGTCTACTAAAATAGACTGCAGAAAAAAGGGCACCCTTATTCTAACCTCTCTACTGCAGGACCTACACAGGGAGGGACAAGCAACATGTTCCACAAAACCGGGAGACCCAACCCCCGAAATGTCCCATGTCCTCTTGGTTGAAGTTGCTGGTGCGAGAGATGCAGGGAATGAGAAGGTGCTCACCTTCCCAGGTTGAAGGTGCTTAATTAAAGGGGCAGCAGGCACGCCAGGTAAGTGGGTAACCATGGTGAGATCACCCACTTCAGGTTATCTTGGTGCGAGAGATGCAGGGAATATGAATTGGGTATGACCCGAATATACACCATCCAACTGGTGCTACCTTTCAGGGATTCCCCAAAACCGGGTTCATTCCCAAAGGGACCCTACTTGTGGCATCAGCAAGTTAAAGCAATTTGACTCACTCTCCGAGTTCCGTTTCGGACTTTAATAACTTGTTGGATTTGGGGCATTTTTTAGGCGGTAAATGGACAGTTTCCACTTTGTTCGGCTGATCCACTCAGCAAGCGATGAATGCACGATTTGTCCAATGCGGAATGGTGATCTCTTGAGGAATTCAGAAAGTGATATGGATCCTGCTTTCATTCATTAACCAATACTTTAGTGCATGTTGCTTGGATGTTAGGACTTTGACCTTTTGCCAACTAATGGGTTTTCCATTCAACCACTAAAAGTTAAACTTTTAGCGGGGGAGCAGATTTCGCAACCGAGAATATGGGTGTGCGTTTCTTTGAGGTTCCCCTTGAGATGCTGTTCAGCGAAACTTAAAGGACACCACCCACAGAGATTCCGATAAACACGAAATGCGATCCACACGGAGGGGTATAGATACAACTTCCTTTACATGGGTAAGTAAAGGGGAGTGCGTTGTGCCATCTACTTTCACCAAACAAACTGTAAAGGCCCTTATATGTTTTGATTTTGTGATTTACACATCGTTTTTTAGGCTATTTAACTAGTTGATTTTAGTAGGTTGACGATCAACCTAGGTTGACGATCAACCATGATCAGGGTTGCAAACAGTAAGGTACATGATGACCAAACCCATCTAGAACAGCGGAGCGGTTTCATGCTGTTGTCCTTCTATACGGACCTTCTTGCTACCCTTGCGGGGACACTTCGAGACTACAGACTCAACCCCTAAACACCCAAGACCATCAAGAAGGTGTGCAAAATCGACTGGTCGCTGGTGACGACTTTGGATAGCCATACGTCACAAGTTTACACGATCTGAGTGGCCCCCCAAGACTTTTTTCTTACAGGGAGGAGGCAAACCTGGCTACGCCAAGCCTCGAAACCCGGCAAGTTCACGGTACCAGAAACTTGCAAGCCCAAGCCACCAGTTTTCTCGCCCTGGTGGTTTGGTCATATGTTTCGCTAGTTTCGTAGCAAGGTGCCACATTGCCAAGGAGCTGCAACATGAGTGAGTGCGAGCAAAGATTGCATTGGGCTGTGGAAAGGGGCAAGTGATGACGCATACGTATCTGCCCCACTCATCCTTGCAGCCGGACGGTTTCGTGGTTTCCCATGAATAGTTTCAGTGAGGGGATTTGAGCTGGCCCTTTGGACGGGGTGCTACTGCCTGGCTCAGGGAGTATAGCCCTTTTTCAGCATCTAAGAACCAAAAGTCAAGGAGGCGTGGGTGTCGTTTTGAGTCCTGTCAAAGGCTGGTTTGACCGGAAATCAACAGGACGACAACGTTTGCTTGGGTGAAGCATACCCAGTTGATGCTACCTGGGGGGTTAGTCAAATCACAAGCTCTTTACTAAAAAACGAAGAAGAGGAAATCATGTAAGACCAGGCCCCACGTGATTTCCAGTCTGGGTAATTCGACAGGCAGGGAATGAGGTTTTTTCACCATCCAACTGGTGGTTTCCTTCAAGGGAATCCCATTCGGACCAGTACATTCCCAAAACCCCGGTGATACCGATCGAAACTGCCATTAGAATGTGAGGTACAATTTTTATCCCGGGTAGATGGATGGTTAGCAAGGAATGAGCCAGAAATGGGTGCGGATATCCGCCTTTTAATTTCCTTGCGTGGATTTGGGTAGACCACTTGAATACAGATCGGTTTTGATTATGACTCATCTGCGGGCCGAACGGAAGATTGATCAACCTCCATTGCAGCCATTTGCATGTGGCTGTGGGTCAAAACCAATGGGATCCCATTTTGGGGTAGGTGCACCACCCATTTTAGAACCTTTTTTAGTGGTTGGATTGGGATCTTCACTGGGGGTACGATTTGGCTTTTAACCCATGGCCATATAGAAGGAACCCAGGTGTCCCATACCCTTGAACAAATACCATCTTTGTAGCATGCTGCACAGTCACAGTCTGCCATGTGCGCGCCTGTGTTTTTTTGTGTGAAGCCGTTCGGTCGGTATATGAGCCACTTTACTCACTTCCCTTTGCTCACTTCCTGAGTTGTTGGACATTCGACTTTTTTGGGCTTGGGCCATTTGAGCTTTTCGGCCTTGCACCCCTTTTTTTTTGGCTTTCGACCCATCCGCGTTGTGAGGCGTGCCCGCTGAACTGCAATGGCAACGGCCAGTGCAGCGGCGGCGTCTGCCAGTGCCGCAGCGGCTTCAAGGGCCTCGCGTGCCAGGACGTGCGCGAAGCGAAGCGCAAGGAAGGGGAAAGCCAGGCACGTAGTCGAAGGGTGCGCAAGAAAAGGGATGCTTCCATTTGCTGAAATGATTTGTTTATTTGCCCCTTTTTGGTTTGAAAAGGAATTATTTTCCTTTTTTGGTTTTGAAAGGAACTTATCACTGGTGCGGTGGAAGTATTGTTTTATTTTTCCCAGGGGTCTTAACCAAATGGAAGGATGCAAGTAGTCAAAGGGTGCGCAGAAAAAGGGTTACTTGACGACTTAATCTACTAGGTCCCCAGTATTTTTGTACAGAAAAAAGTTGGTACCCTTATTCTATCCTCTCTACTGGAGGACCTAGTCTAAGTGGTGACAGAACAGAAATATATATATATATATATACAACGTTCTTATCAGGATTCGGTTTAGTCCCCGACAAACCTGTCCCAATTATGTTGGCCGCATTGTGGTTTGCTTTGGGCTGCTCCCAAAGGGCAAAGCCCTGGCCCTGGCCCTGTGGAGCGACCAAAAGGGATGCGTTTGTTTAGATTCAATTTGGACCCCCGTTGAAAGGACAGAGACTAGGCGCAGCATTAGGGTTGAGCATCAAGCCCTGGAGCTCGATTGGATGCAAGTCACGTTGTTTGATATGTGTGTATTCGATTTGTCGTATTTGCTTTGTGGTTGTGTAGCACACTGTTCTAGAATTTCATGGTTTCATTGCGATTTATCTCGTTTTGCGGTGCGGAAGACTCAAATGCAGTTGGGGCCCCAGCCTCACCCTTCCCATTGCAAGAGAAAGAAAAATGCTGCATGGAGCCCGCTCTTTTTGTTTAGTACGACGTGCTCTGCCAGGTTTCTGCGGAAAGCTTTCAGGGGGGAGGCGTTAAGCCTTCCATTTAAAGAATAGTCCGATCTTCGACCAATGGGGTTTACCTCAAAATAGAACTCCCCCAAAATGGTTGGCGTCCTGTTGGCATTCAACTTTAGATCCGACCACCTCAGAAGAACCATCCGGAAAAGGATAGACCCAATTCTGCAGAGCTAAGCTTCGAAGAAGCATATTTTGTCATAGCTCAAGCCCACGTCACACTTGCCTGGTGTCAAGCCACTCCTCAAGGTCAACCTGAGGCTGCACGTGAAGCGAACCTAGGTCCCCCAGCTAGGTGCCCTGTCTCACCTCTTTTTTGGTTGGGAGGGTTCCCCTAAAATAGACCACAGAAACAAGTTGGTACCCTTATTCCAACCTCTCCACTGGAGGACCTAGGAGCCGCTTTCAATCGGCTCTCGAATTAAACCCCTGGTCAATGTTGTCCCCGGGGTGCCCCCTTGTCACTATCCCTCACCTTGGTGGGTGACATTAGTAGAATGGGTTTAGTGTGCCGGAGTTCCCATTTTTGTAGGACAAACACAGAACCAACTAGCCTAGCCTACCTGGCATTCAAGATGGTCGCTGAAGTGTCACATCGGGGTCATGGAAAGCCACTGGCCGAGTTTCACAGCCTGTCACCAAACCCAAATATGGCACCTCATGCCTGCGATCAACACATCTAGGTGAATTTAGAGATCATTCACCAGCCCAAAGGTGAACATCTCATCATAGGAATGCAGCAAGCATGAAATCCTGTATTCAACGGTCCTCCAGTTCACCCCCACGAGTGAGATAGGCACTTCAGCTCAAACAGCGCGGCTAGGAGCATGAGCCGGCGCCAAAGGTGGCACTCGCGCAGGCGGGCGGGCGGGATGGGTCTGTGAATTGCGTGTTCCCGGAAGTAGTTGGTAGGGGAAGCCGAAAGGAAAAGAACATTTCTGGGTCCTTTCTGTAAATTATTGTGTGTGTGTCTGTGTGTGGGTGGGTGGTTGGGTGGGTGGGTGGCAGTCCGAAACCTCTAAATCAACCTGAGTGGGTGGAACGCTGGCTGTGGAGGCCTCCGAGGCCCCGGTTGTTCGGTATGTTTTTAGATCTAGGTCCCCCAGCTAGGTGCCCTGTCTCACCTCTTTTTTGGTTGGGAGGGTTCCCTACTAAAATAGACTACAGAAGAAAGTTGGTACCCTGATTCCAACCTCTCTACTGGAGGACCCAGTTTAGATGTTTGTTTTGCTGCTTTGATACTGTTTCCGGAAGACCTCATGCATGGCATTGACTCCAGTCTGAAGCTGCCTGCTCACTGGGTATGGGAAACAGGGGCAGCAGAGCAGAAGCATTTGAATACTTGACACGTGTGTCCTGTCAGTAGCTCACATAGGATTTGCTGGAATGAGAGCCCTCCCATCATTGCAGTTCATAGATGCGGTGAAGATGAATGATGGTGTTCTACCGCGGCTTCAAAAGCACCTTGATCTTCAGAACCATGTTTATAACTTGCCGCACATGTTCTTTGAGATCCAAGAGCCAAACGGCTCACCAATTTGGGTCACTCTCGTTTAGCAGCGCAACAGTTCTTGCTGACTGTGATGGCAGCAATCGTCAAGGGTGTTTCAGTGATCAATGTGTTTTCTGGAAGTCTAGCAGAGTTATCAAACTGATGGCAGCCCGCAACATGCATTTTGCAGGACGTGTCAATACAGTATCCAAACGAGAAAACTTTGTTGCGTCGGAGTGGCTGGGATTTTTAGTATCTTCTGTCATTTGGAGTACTGTCTGCTTACTCTGAGTTCCGGTACTTTACGTCAAAACTACAAGGGATGGTTTATAAGGGTCATTCCAACTCTCATTCCCTGCCTATCGCACCAGCAAGTTATTTCAGTTACACACAAAAGGCTGGACTTTTGTGGCCATCCAGCAAGGGCATGAGCGCGGGGAAACTCACGCAAATGCCACTACTGTGCTACGGCTGTAAAAGAAAAGCTAGTTGTCAGCCTCACCCTTTTCATACGGGCATTTTCCGGTATGGTGTCTGCAGGCATAGATGTTTATGACCAGCAATACAAGCTTGTAGCGCGGTATATGCCACTGATATAAGTAGAATATAACCTCCATACCTCCAAAACCCATATATACACCCCGGAAATGCAGTTGACTGTTGGAAAAGCCGACTTTAAGGCGAATATCCTTTCTGGTGGCGTGTTTTTACTGGGCAAATATTAAATATGGGGAATTATATAGGGCGTGAGTCAGGGACCTGCAGGAAGCTTCGGATAGCTATTGAGGGAGCATTTGATGGATGAGGAGCGTCCCAAAAGCCGGGTTGTTGGGTCCCATTTGTGGCGCACCGCGTATACTTCTCTTTCAAGCAATTGGAGGACTATTAGAAATCTCGAGGCCCTCAATGGTTGATTTCTGGGACTACAACACAAGCCCACAATGTAGGAGGGCCGGACGATCATGCCTGGCTTGTTGGGTGTCTTTCATACTAGAGGGTCTTAGGATCTCACCTGGAATTTGCAACGAAGCAGGAACCGCCATAGTAGCGAGTAGCCTTTGCTATCCCGCCAAGAATCATGGTTGTTGGCTACTGGCTTCACACCAGGGTTGGATTGGCTGTCAAGTCACAAAACAAGTGGCATTTTGCCGGATTCTCCATGTTTTTGTTGCTGGGGGTCTATATTGACAGTCATCCGGACACGGTTTTCCAGCCGAGTTTTTCACGTCAGGCCCCAAAGGCTTGCTTGGACCCCACTTGCTCCGGCAACGGCCTGTGCTGGCCGGAGCCTGAGTTGGGTTGGAAAGTCATGGGTAGAAGTACTCGAACCATAGGTGTCCTGTTTAGGTGAGCTTGATTAACAAATAGTGAACTTTAAACTTTTTGGTGTGGTAAGTATAATATATAAATCTTGAACTTTTTTGGGCCATCCACTCAGCAAGTGAGCTTTTTAGGTGTATTTTTTAATAGATGGCACTGGTTTAGGTGGGGTTTCTTCCATTTACCAGTCCAAATTTTGCCGACATAAAGTTCGCGACTTTTAGCAGGGGATCTGAAAACGGACAGCCCAGTTTTGGTTGCCGTACCTAGGTCCCCCAGTAGTGCCCTTTCGCACCCCTTTTTTGGTTGGGAGGGTTCCCTTACTAAAATCGACTTTCTGAAAAAGTTGGTACCCTTATTCTCACCTCACAAGACTGGAGGACCTAGGTACCAAGGGGATTTGTTCGTTGAAGCAAAGTTGGGCCCTGGTGCTGGGACCCGAGTGATCTCATGTCCAGCGTAAAGCTTAGGGTGAGTCCCCGATATCCGCCCTTGAGCTGGGCAGACTTGAGGTTTTGATGTTGACTCAAGTGGGAACCAAGGATTCTTCCCCAAATTCATGGAAGGAAGCCAAAAGGGGGGTCCGATTCCCAAAAGGAGTTTCACCCTATGTTTGTTTTTTTTGCGTAACCTATGTTAATCTGCAGGACAATTTAAACGCCTGTTTGATTGGCCCAACCCATTCGGGTGTGCGCCTTTCTGACCTTTTTGTGGGTTTAAGGGGCGCGAAATGGCAAACCGTTGCACCATTTTGGGGGCCCAATGTTGAAAAAGACACCCATTTTGCAATTTTCCCTTAGTGGTTTTCGATTTTCAAGTAAACCCATCCCCTGCAACTTCCACTTGCTTAAGACTATGTTAATGTTTTATTTTCCCTTGTTGGTTTTCAAGGGAATCTGTGACCACTGCACATGTTGTCTAACTTTTTCCAGGGGGCAAAAACGCACGCGTAAGGAAACCCATCCTAGGTCCCCCAGTAGTGCCCCTTCTCACCCCTTTTTTGGTTGGGAGGGTTCCCTTACTAAAATAGACTGCGGAAAAAAGTGGGCACCCTTATTCTCACCTCACAAGACTGGAGGACCTAGAAGCACATGTATGGAACCCCCATCAATTGCGGGGTTTCCGAGCCCTGTTCGACCACGCCCCCCCACCCCACCTCCCCACCTTCGGAGCTCGAGGTCGGGGGAGTGCCGGTGCCTCTCGGGCTTCAGCGGCGCCAGCTGCGAAAACGCGGAGAAGCCTCTGCAGCTGCAGCTGCAGCAGGCGGGGAGAAGTGGACTGGCTGGTTGGTTGGTTGGTTGGTTGGTTGGTTGGTTGGTTGGTTGGTTGGTTGGTTGGTTGGTTGGTTGGTTGGTTGGTTGGTTGGTTGGTTGGTGGGTTGATTGGCGGGTTGGTGGGCTGGTTGGTGGGCTGGTTGGTTGGTGGGTTGGTGAGTGAGTGGGTGGGTGGGTGGGTGGGTGGGTGGGTGGGTGGGTGGGTGGGTGGGTGGGTGGGTGGGTGGGTGGGTGGGTGGGTGGGTGGCTGGCTGGGTGGGTGGCTGGGTGGGTGGGTGGGTGGGTGGCTGGGTGGCTGGGTGGGTGGGTGGGTGGGTGGGTGGGTGGGTGGGTGGGTGGTGGGTGGGTGGGTGGGTTGGTTGGTTGGTTGGTTGGTTGGTTGGTTGGTTGGTTGGTTGGTGGTGGTGGGTGGTAGGTGGGTTGGTTGGTTGGTTGGTTGGTTGGGCGGGTGGGTGGTTGGTTGGGTGGGTTGGTTGGTTGGTTGGGAACCACAAGCTAATAGTGCGTCAGAACTTCGACTTCAACCCAATTGAAACTGCTGTTGGTGTCAGCGCAACACCCAGCTATCGAATGCCGTGGGGGTCTCGAGCTCTTGCAAAGCCTCCCGGGCCAAATGTGTCTACCTTTGTTATGTCAACCTCGGATTCCGGAGGACCGTACTAATCAGCGGCGGCTCCCTTTGGGCAAGCAAAATGTTAGGGGTCCTGTAGTTAGGGGTTTGCGCCAATGAAGGAATTAGTTCAGGGTTCCAAAGCACGCAAAAGAATTGTGCGCATAGTAGGGTCTAAAGATTTGCTGTGGGGTTTGCCCACCAGACAATCAGTTGTTGTTTTGGTTTTGGAGAATAAACCACGTGCCCCTGTGGAATTTACATACAGCCGTTGGCTATACATGCATGTGTGTGTGTGTGGATGCGTAGGTTTTGTGTATTATAAATATATACATATATATATATATACATGTGTGCGTGCATGTGCGTATATGGCACCCCACCATGATCCACAAATATAGTGTGGAACGCAATGAAGCACAGTAAAATACTGCGAAATTAAACTTGAGCGTGGATACAGGTATATAAGGCGGGGTTTCTGCAGAGCATTGTTTCTTGCACGGAGGGCGAGCTCATGCGGCTGTCGGACACGCAGTGTGTGATTTGAGCCAAGGTCAAAGTTTGCAGTTCCCGCGAGAGGCATGAGAGAATTAGTGAGCCTCTGCTCTTGGCGGGCCAATTCATCTCCAACTCTCTCCTAAATTGACCATATACTACTACGATCGCAAGTTCATGCAGACACGTTCAGCAGACACTTTCTTACGGAGAAAGACTTGGGCCTACCAGACAAGTTCTCAAGACCCTTCTCTCACTTCACCAGTTTCTGGAGGTTAAGCTTTCGGGGAAGACCATTTGTGTGTGTCAAATAGAAAGTATGGATTCTTTGACAGAACAACTGTGGAAATATCCGGTGTTTTTGTTTTGTTCATTTTACTAAGGCTGTTGTTGTTTTCCCGAAAGCATGGCGAAGGGTTCTTCCGCTGGGCTCACTTGAGTTGTTCTCATGAGAGTCATTACAAGGTGTCATTGCAAGGAATCATCATCATGAAAGTCAATGCAAGGAGTCATTGCAAGGAGTCATTGCAAGGAGTCATTGCAAGGAGTCATTGCAAGGAGACATTGCAAGGAGTCATTGCAAGGAGTCATTGCAAGGAGTCATTGCAAGAGTCATTGCAAGGAGTCATTGCAAGGAGTCATTGCAAGGAGTCATGGCAAGGAGTCATTGCAAGGAGTCATTGCAAGGAGCCATTGCAACAATTCATTGCAAAGAGTCATTGCAAGGAGTCATTGCAAGGAGTCATTGCAAGGAATTGCGAGTCGCAAGGAGCCAAGCGCATGGAGTCAAGTGCAAGCTGCAAGTGCAAGGAGTCAAGTGCAAATTGCAAGTGCAAGGAGTCAAGTGCAAGTTGCAAGTGCATGGAGTCAAGTGCAAGTTGCAAGTGCAAGGAGTCAAGTGCAAGTTGCAAGTGCAAGGAGTCAAGTGCAATTGACTTGCGAGGAGTTAAAATCTCTTCTTAGGGCGGCGGGGTAGTGCCGACGACACTACACGAAAATCGACCCTCTGCGGGGATCGGCGTGGTCGAGGTGCCAAAACATCGAGGTTTTTTGCGATTTTGTTTGGGCTCGCGCGGCCATCTGCGGGGATCGGCGTGGTCGAGGTGCAAAAACTCGAGGTTTTGTGCGATTCTAAAGTTCCCGCGCGACTTTCTGCGGGGGTCGGCGTGGTCGAGGTGCAGAAACTCGAGGTTTTTTGCGATTTCTGCGTCGAGGTGCAAAAACTCGAGGTTTTTTGCGACTTTTGTTGTTCGAACTGGTCCTCGGGATTTGTCTCATGGTTCGCGCGCCTGCTCCCGGGACCGGCGGGTCGCGGGTTCGATTCCTTCCTGGTCCGCGGGCGGGCGTCGCAAGATGCAACTTGCATTTTAAAGCAACTTGCGCAGAGCAACTTGCGCAGAGCAAGTTGCACAGAGCAACTTGCGCAGACCAACTTGCACCGACCAGTTTGCGCAGAGCGCCTTGCCTAGAGCAACTTGCGCAGAGCAACTTACGCAGAGCAACTTGCACAGAGCAACTTGCACAGAGCAGCTTGCACAGAGCAACTTGCAGGGAGCGCAATTTGCACAGAGCAACTTGCAGGGAGCCACTTGCAGGGACCAACTTGCCGGAGCAACTTGCGCGGAGCAACTTGCGCAGAGCAACTTGCACAGTAGAGCAACTTGCGCAGACCGACTTGCACCGACCAGTTTGCGCAGAGCACCTTGCCTGGCACTGTCTCGCGCTTGCTTCACGAATGCTTCGTGGAGGGAAAAAGACAAATAACACATCCTGCAGCGTTGGGCCGACCTCGCTTGCGATGTTATGCTTTCGGTCCAACCGTGGTCTAGTTTCCTAGGGCTGGTTTTCCGCAGGGCTGGCACACCGTTTCCCACTGAGGAAGTGAACGTGATGCTGAAAGCCCTTCAAACTTGGCTCCCGAAGGCCATCCGGCCCCTTAGCTTTTTAGATCTGTTTAGCTGATTTAGTGGTAGTTTCCGAATTTCACCCAAAGTAAGTTAAACTTTTAGCGGGGGATCTGAAAACGGGCCCTTTTGTTGGGGGAGGGGTCCCCTACTGACATAGACTACAGGAAAAAGTTGGTACCCTTATTCTAACCTCTCTACTGGACGACCTAGCTTGTAGTAGGTAACCCTGCGCTATTGTCCTTTTTGGTGTCCAATTCGGCAAGCCCTCGGTTACCAGCTGTAAGGGTAAATGGATCCACTGGGTGGGCTGATGGCTCCAGTGACGTCTGGGGTTTTATCTCTGGCCGCGTTCACGGCTCAAAGGTGACGCAGGAGGACGAGCAGCGCGTGCTGACCTGCGCCGGCGGCTGCTCTCACGGCACATGCAAGGCGCGGATCACAAGCAAAGGTCGGGTGGAGGGCTTTGATTTTTTTGGGTTTACCCCTTTGGCTTCTTTTTTCTCGGAAAAAATGAGTGTGTCTTTTTTGAGGGTACCACCCCTCGGCTTCTTTTGTTTTCGGGAAAAATGAGTGTGTCTTTTTGAGGGTAGTTCTTTTGGGTGGGAGGGCTTTGTTTTTGATGTGCCCCTCAGAGTGTTAAGTTGCTTGAGGTTCTGTGTTTTTGGTTTTGTACAAGCGTTTTTGAGGTGGAGGGTGGAGGGATGTACCCCTTCTTTTTTTACAAAACAAAATGAGTGTGTCTTTTTTGAGGGTACCCCTTTTGAAAGTGTTTGTTTTAAGGGAAGCCAAAAGGAAAGCCAACATGTTGATGTGCCCCTCAGACCTTTTGGAAGCAAAACTAGTGGGCGTGTGTGTTTTTTGAGGGTACCCCTTTGGCATTGAAAGGAAAACAAGGAACACCGCGATTTTCGGAAGGACCCCTTAAAAAAAGACACACTGATGGGCTTGAGTGGACCATTTTACCAGGTTTTGAGCTTGAAGTTGGGCGAGTGCCCGAGACGATTTCTTTGTTTCTTTCTTTGGAAGCAAAACCAAGTCTGTCCAAGCACGCCTAGCAGCGCGCATCCCCTTTGTGTTCGGCACGCCTTGTCCACCTTCCGCAATGGGCAAATAAGCCCAACCATCTTCTGCGTTATGGGAATTCGGCAGCGACTTATCATGTTCATCTTCTTTTTCCGGCCAGTCCCATGCTGGAGCCGACTTGTCGCGGGAAGGGCCAAATTCGAATTTGTCTTGGAAAACCCCCCAAGGCAAACGGTTTCCGTTGGGTTTCTTTCACCGTTCTTCGCATGTGTTTTTAGTTTTGTTGGTCTGATCATTTGCAGTAGGATGCTGCAAAAAGCAAGGTGTCTGACGACAAACATACCAAGCAGATTTTCCCTTGAGCGAACGCCTTTTCCGGGGACCGAGCCAAGAAGTGGACAGATCTTCGCCGAACACCGAGCCGCGAGCAAGTCCGAGGTGGGCATGTGCGAGTGCGAGGCCGGGTGGCAGGGCATGTCCTGCAACATCAGCGCTGAGCAGCTCGCCCAGGCCACCGGGACCTTCCGTGGCTTCCGCGTTTTTTTTTTGTTTGGCTTGGAATCCGCGAAGCCAGAAGGATGGGTGATGTTGACCCAGGATGAATAATTATCCCGTCCCACTAGTAGGGGGTGTTCCCTCCAAAAGTGATGAATCCCCATTAAAAGGGGACACCCCTCTATTAATCAACCAGGGGTTTGTTAATCCGGGGTTAACATTACCCTCCCTCAGACTAACAGCCGGAAGCTCCCAGAAGGCCGATCCTGTAAATGGGTCAGCAAGTCTTTCAAAGGTCCTGGGAGCTTCCATGTTAGCCATGTTAGCCTGGGGGATGGGTAATCTTTTTGCAGACCATTTTTCAAGAACCCGCCCAGGCCCCAGAATACGTCCATTTAAACGTAAGTCAGTTGAGCAAATAGCAAGCTCATCGATTTGGGGGTAAAACCTCCATGACGGTCGCTTACTCGGGGATTTCTTTAATTCCGCTTGGTCATTCAGCAACACTGGAAACTTGCGACTGGTTCCCTTGTTTTGGATTGGTGAAAGATTAGAAGTTACCTATGCAACCGAATATGTTTGAACTTGCTTCAGGTGGTTCAATTCAGGGTTCCGTTTAAACAAAGCCTCTTGGAATGACCCCTTCCTTCCGCATGTTCTCACTGCAGTTAGGGGTTGAGAACAGGGGTGACGCACCAGACACCATTGTTCGAGAGCTTTGGCAGTGTGGCGCCAAACCCAACGCTCACTTCGTAGGTCGACATGCTTGATCGCTTGCTCAACGTGCACGGTCACCGTCTGCAAATGGACGAGTCGGTCATTTCAGCGGTGAGCATTTTGGTGAGTCAGCAAGGCAAATGGCAAGCTTCGAGCTGGAGCGCTTCGAAGAGAACTTTGAACAACGGAGATGTGGTTGCGCTGTTTGGCACTGGCCGAGAGTTCTATGACGCCAAGAAGACGCGCTATGTGTGTATCCGGACTCGCAGATTTGAAGTAGGCACTGCTGTGATACGAGAATTGATCCATACGGCCCCAAAATGACCATGGGTCACATTTCCCATGGCGAGTTTTTGTCAAATCTTGCTTGGCGGTTTTGTCCAAATGGTCACCCCGTGTTTACTGGATCTTTTGATCAACCCCCCCATACCAGGGCGCCTTTTTTCTCTTGGGAGAAATAGGCCTCGCATTGGCACAGCGAGGCGATTTTGTCCGGTTTCTCCGGTGAATGTCTTCGGGTAGACTCCTTTCCAGCGACGCCAGGACTCTTCACTCTGTGTCAGTGAGTCATTAGTCAGGGTTCTCAAGGTGAAGCTTAGGACTTTCCAGGTCCTAACCGAGGGGTTGCCCAGTGGATTCTGACCGTTGGTTTTTCTGTTTTTTTGGTTGGAAGGTTTCCCCTATCGCAACCAACCGAAAGAGAATGGGCATCTGAGTAACTCCAGGTGTGGGGTAAGCAGGATTGCCCCAAGGATGCAATGCGAACCTCGGGCTGGTCTGGATGACGGTGCGAATCGGTCAATCCCCAAGCGAACACATCTTTGAGGAAGGTTCTTTGATCCAAAGTGGAGCAGCTGTGATTCCGGGTGTTCCTTCTTTTTATTCATCAAGAAGGTCCTTTTTCATGGAAATGCATCCTTCATCAATCTGTTTTTTCAGAAGCAGAAATCCATGGGCCTATGGGAGCTGGCCCCTTCCCTTGCCTTTAGGAGCAGGAGCAGTCTGCGAGCGTGCCATCCGCGGCCTCGTGGATCGCCCGGGATGCCTCTTGGACGTTTTTGCAGCGCCTTTGGCTCCGGGTGTTTTAGACTTCCCTATTGGGTGGCTCGTCTTCTTTGGAGTTTGTACACTGTGGTTTCAAAGCAAAGCCGAGAACCATGTTTTGGGCTTCCCTAAAAACCGACACACCCATACTTTCCCCGTTTGGTTTCGAAGGGCTGAGGTTTAAACAGGACATATTTCTCAGCACGTTTAGAGTCTGTTCCAAAACAAAGCGCGAACATGACAATGGCTTTTGTATTTGCCCGAGAGGAAGCTAAAGGGGGATTCGTTGAAGGGTTCAGCGGAGACTCCGGGCCATTCCATTCCAGTCTGATTGCTGTTGCCCGGATTTCTGTTCCGAGGTACTCAGCTTGCTTTTGGTCGGCTTGGACCGAGCCTTCCATAATTTTACCTTGAGGGGTTCATGGCTAGCGAGCTTATTCTCCTCTTGAGGATCTCCTAGGCATGCGATAATTTGCAGTCCCTTAGGTCTTAGTCAGTCCCCGTATCATGTTACTCGTTTGTTGGGGAGAACACTCCTCGAATTTCCCGAAGCCTTGATCGCTCCTCTGAACCCAGTGGGAGGAACCTGTTCCTTGCATGTCTAGGTTGATTCCTTACCCATTCTATTCAACCATCTTTTTTTGGAAAATCCGGACGTTTCCCTTGTCCTGAGGTTTTCTAGAAAGGATCCCGGGAAAGGACGGGGAAGGTAGCACAACTAGGTCATATGCCTGGAGTCTCCATGACCCTAACATGAATTGTCACGACCCCAAAAGTTTTGTTTGGCTGTCATGCCAATTCATTGTTTCCAAGGATTTTGGGTGTCATGACTCCATGCCAAAAAGGGGACTCCAAAAGGTTGGTAAAAGCATTCTGGGTTGGAGACCCCCCAAACGAACTGGGACCCCAAACTCATGTTCTGGCTCCATTTTTGTTCCTCGGGTCAAAAGGAGAGTCCAGGGGCGGGCCGGGGTTCTGGTCCCGTCCGAAGGCTCGGGGCAAGGCGCTGCGAGTGCCCAAGCCACCGAAGGCAAAGGGGAGGGCTGGAGGGGTCTGGGCTCAAGAAGTTGTGTTGCAGAGGTTTTTTTTGGGTCTCGTTTGGTTTTGGGTTGTTGTTTTTTGGTCGCAGGCTTTTGGGTCTTTTTTGTTTGCTTCTTGTTGTTCATGTTTGGGTTTGATCAGACATCCAACATCCAGGACCCAACGGCGAGAGTTTGTTAAGTGGCTTCCTTGGGATTAATTTGTCGCGTTCATTTGACAACCATGGGGCCTGTGTTGGAGCAGTGGCTTTTCTCCCAAATGTTCAAGTGAGCCCCTGCCACCCTCCCGAGCCAATTCTCGAAAACTTGGGTGGCTTGAGAGTTACTAGGTCCCCCAGCAGTGCCCTTTTACCGTTTCTTTTTTGGGGAGGGTTCCCCTGCTAAAATAGACTACAGAGAAAAAGGGTACCCTTATTCTCGCCTCTCTACTGGAGGACCTAGGTTAGCTATGAATGGAAGGCTATGCTCGGAACCCCAAACTTAATTTTCCCTCAGCTCCCCGGTACAACGCTTAGGAGGCTCACTCCCGGACCGTCTGAGTAGAAAAAAGGAGAGAACCACCCACCAATCCGTTCGGGGGTCTCATAGGTAAGACGAGATCCAAGCGTATAGATGGTGCTGCCGAAAGGTCTAAAAGCGGCTCACGGAATATTTTCCAGGATGAACACATAATGCGGGGCCCCATTAGTCACGGGGAGCTGAATTCAAGACAGATGTCTCCGAGTGATTCAGTCCCCTGCCGAAAAGAAGCAGGGTGCATACAACAGTTTTTACCCAGCCCTTCAGCCGGCCAAAGTCGAAAGGCGAAAGGCGACCGAATTTTCTCCAAGCCCACCTTGTCAATCATTCGTCGTCAACGGCTTCAAAGGCCATCAGAAACAAGGCCACACCCGAAACTGCAAACTCTTTCTCTAAGGCGTCTCCAAAAGAGCCCCGGCCAACAATTGTCCGGGGGGGGGGAGGGGGAGGTGGGGGAGCGGAGGCTCAGATACAAAAAAACAGATTGAAACAAGCGTACTCAGTTGAGGCAAATTAAAATCCCCCGCAGAACATGTTTAGTACTAAACCGACACCACCAGGGTTCTGTTTTTTGACCACCCCAAACACGACTTAAACCCAGGGGTGGTTGATTTCCCCAAAAGGGAAACCCCTGGGTTTAAGTCGACCTTGGGGTGGTCAAAAATGGAACCCTGGACACTATATTTATAACCCAGCTTGAAGGCTGCACTACTCAATAGTAAAATGACTACTGAGAGGACCCAAGAGGACCGAAGAGGATAAGCGCAACGCAACACTAGGTCCCCCAGCTAGGTACCCTTTTACCGTGTCTTTTTCAGGAGAGGGTTCCCCTACTAAAGTAGACTACAGAAAAAAGGTTATTCTAACCTCTCTACGGGAGGACCTAGAATACAAAACAATACTAAACCAGTGAACGCTCAGCAATATTCAACCAACGCTAAACCAATACTTATCTTAGAGGCTGCTTGGGGTGACCCCTAAATTGTCCAGCGGTTCTCCATTGCTTTTGGGGGAGTCGGCGCCCCGGTGTGGATGGATGGAACCCCGGAATTAAATCTAGGTGATAAACCAACCAAGTGCTGGATTTTGTCAGCACACCACTTGGATATGTCTTAACAAGAATAGCGCTTTTCCTTCAGGTTTCCTTTCCAATCAATTTGGAAAGGGTGCCCGCCGAAAATCCCTCATCCATCAGGCTGCGACAATAGCCCGGCAACCAGAGGAGGATGCCTAGTGTGTAGTCCTTTTCCAGGAGGGGTAAGCCAGAGCAATCCAGCAAAATAGAAGCTAATAACTTCCGCCCATGGTGACTAAATTTGATATTCAAGTAATCACCACACACCTCATGCAGCCCCCTCCAAAAAAGACTACTTTTCCCATGTCCAAAATCCCAAGTACTGTTCAAACAAGCAGCGGTTTGGGGGGTGCTGGGTTCCCATACATGTCCTTTTTACAGGTTAGTTTGATTAAAAATAGATGGCACTGGTTTAGGTGGGGTTTCTCCCATTTACCAGGGCCAACTAGTTTTCCAAAAGGCCACCTATGTGGGTTCCAATTATGCCCCGCGGGCTCGTTTTGAGCTTCGGCGCGGTTCGCCCAGGACGCTTCGCTGCTGTCGACCGAGGCGCAGGCTCCTGCGGTTTCCCCCGCTTTTGGGGCGGGTGTGGGTGTGCTGAAAAACGGGAGAACATGACTAGGTCCCCCAGAAGTGCCCTTTTACCCGAAACTTCCCCTACTAAACAGCCTACAGAAAACAGAAAGGGTACCAACTTATTCCAACTTCGCAAAACTGGAGGACCTAGATGGGATTTTCTTTTTGGATGGCTTTGGCTCACTTCACGCGTTCCTGGACATACCCAAGGGAGGCTGCTCAAGGAACCCAACCCACATATCTAGGGGTTGATTCCTTCCTTTTCCATTCAAACTCAACCATCCTTCTTTCCAAAAACCGGATCCGTTTTTCAGGGGTTTCCGCGGGTTTTCTAGAAAGATCCGGATCCCTGGAAAACATGGGGAAGGTTCCTTGAGAAAATAGAGGAGACGCCTTCTTAGGGTTTGATTAGAACAAACAGGAAGCCGAAAAGAGCTCTACGATTTGCAGGTCCCCCCAATGTTGATCCCACAATCAAAGCAAAAATGGCATCTAATTCCTCCCCAACGCCACTTACGAGATCAATAGAAACAACTTGTCTCCCCCAGATCCAAAGGCTCAACAAAGGTAGGCGTTTGGAAAAAGGCATGGATTTGTCGTCAAAAGGCCTTGTTTTGCAAACCCGCGCAAGTGTGCATGGTAAGTATCCACGCCTTTTCAAGGCCTTTGCCCCTGTACTTCTGGCCCAACAACATGATTTGTTTACTTGATTATATTTGCGGCTTATGGCGTGTCACCCACACTATCGCTACATCTGATCCTTCCTGCTCTCAATATCTAACATCTTTACGGCGCATCGCTTTGCTTCAAGGTAGTTCTGCAAACAGACGAACTCCAGTGGTGGTGCTTTCCCTTGGAGGTGTCGACCCAGTTTCGAAGAGCTTGCTTGCACTTTTGAGGCCTATCCATGCTTTGCCACGATCCAGCTGCTATCCTGAGTGGTTGGGCAAAATGTTGCGCGTGTTGCTAACCTGGCTCAAGTTCCTACCTGGCATCAAGCAGATATCTACGGGGGTTTGAACGTCAAGAGCCTCTCAAGCAAGATGGAAAGAAGCTTGCATCTATGTTTCTGCTAAGGATACTTCTTTGGCTTCTAGCGCTATAGCGGCGGCATGTGCATAAGCATAGTATATGCATTCAACAACGTTCTAGGGGTAGCTTCCCCATTCTTTCTAGGGATCCTTCTTCCTAGAAAACCACCCAAACACCCTGGGGAAATGGCTGGTTTCTGAAAAGAACGATGGCTGAAAAGAATGGAAAAGGAATCAACCCCTAGAAACATGCCAAATCCCTTCAAGTAAACAAAGCCAGAAACTGCCCGGGTAGTTTCCCGCCTTTTCCAGGCCCGTGCCCGGATCCTTTTCAAGGCCTTAGGCCTTGGGAACCTTTGTAGGTCCCCAGCTAGGTGCCCTTTGTCACCCAACTTTTTGGGTTAGCCGCCATCTTGGAGTCCTATGGATTGGGCTTCCATAGGACTCTGTGTCTTGCTCGCCCTGTTCAGGGGAGCATGTCGCGAAGGAGCTCTCATGCATACAGAGGCAAAAACGTTGCTTCCCTTTCGCGACCAAATATAGATCTAGTTGTTGACATGGGCAACAATAAATCTTCGGTGTCATCTTAGCAAAGAGGATGGCGACAGGCAAGATGTGGGATGTGTTTGCTTTGCCAGGCCAACAGCAGACTTACAAAGGCGGCCACTCGCCTGAATGGTGTGCCTTCAGGGCAACCTCAATGCGCAGGGGGGATGTCCTTTTTTTGACCTTTGTTGGGGTTTGTCTTTTCTTATGGCTAGTCGGTAACGGATCTTCGGACTTTAACTGTTTATTTGAAACAGCTCGAATTTTCCGTTTTGGACCCTCGACAAGTTAAACGCTTTTGGCGGAGGGAAGTCAGCAGCAACCAAGACGGGTGCATAGAGCCAAAAGAGACCTTGACCTGTCGTCTCGAATGTTTCTCCGCGACTCCCAGAAATCGCCTTCTCTTCCAGTCATTTATTTACTACCATGAGTTTGGCCAGGGCGAATCTGTTCTTCAGGAATCTCGCCTCAGTTTAGAGTCTAGAGTGAGCGAAGGTAGGACGAGGGAAGGCAACATAGCCCTTTTAGAGATTGCATAAATTCAAAAGCTCATTCATGCAACGATGGATTTGTTCGATAGGATTGGATTGGAAGTGTCCGAGCCTTCATTTGAAACAGCCATTGTTCCCTTTAGTTTCGGAGCCTCACCCTGAACATGTGTCTGAAGCTCATTGACTCGCAAGCGAGCTTTCACCCTTGGGGCTCCAGATCATCCTGGAATACTTCCATTTGCTGAAATGAATATGTGTTTCTTTTGCCTTGTTGGTTTTAAAAGGAATTTATCACTACTGGAAATAGTGTTTCATTTTTTCCAGGGGTCTCAACCAAATGGAAGAATAGGAATCGAGGCAAATCCCACGGCTTTTGGATTTCGCAGCCTGACTCGTCGGCCTCGAACAATTTACAGGGAGCGATTCCAGCGATGCGGGGGGGAACGTTGAGGTCGTGGGAAAGCTCCTTTCCTTGGGACGTTTGTGGGCATCTTACATCTTTGCCCTAAACCTTGGAGCAATAAACTGGTTCAAGGTGTGCTAAGTTGCTGCGACACCTGATTTCACGTTTTGGGATAAGACAAGCGCAGATGGATTGTCAGGTTCCTCCGTTGGATGAGAGGTTGCGATGGGCAGTGCACCGATGGGGCGAGTTTCTCGTTTTCCGGTTGCTGTTGTGTGTGTGAGCCAAGGGCCAGCCCTTAGCAACGAAGCGGTCAGGAGTCACACACGGCATCACATGAGGTTGCGTCAAAATTACCAGTAGTCTAGTGTGGGACTCACAAAATGTCACACATGGGCATGGGTCAAAATGAAACCACCGGGGGACCGCAGGTTTTGGTGTTTGTTTCAATTTACATGCTGGGTATCTACTTTTCAGCCCGTGGTATGGGCTACCAGCTTTTACATGTGCCCTGGGCAAGCCTACTATAGAAAAGGATTCCCCTGGTTCTCCCTCTGCTTGCATTTGCTACTTAAATGCACAGGGTACTTAGTAAGTGCTTAGTAACCATGGTTCTAACCCACAAAAGCCATGGTTATAAGTGTCCCTTCATTGAGTTATAGCCAGGCTTACGATTACCACTTACCTGACGTAGCGCATGGATCGCCCCTTGAAGTAGGCATACTGTGGATGGACGAAATCCGTTCGCACCACTTGGAAACCATGGTTGAAGCCATTGAATTGTAGGTATTTGAGTTGGGGAATCATTCAGAAACCAGGGTTTGTTTGGTTCGAAATGGATTTGTCCATCCACAGTAGGTCCTACCCATGCCTCGCTTTCGCATGAGAAAAACGCGCGCGCTTGCGCGCGCTTGCTTGCGCGCGAGCGAGGCGTCGGCGCTGGACTCGTGGCTGAAGACGGCGCGGAAGGTGGGCACCGGTCGCCCGGCAGGAGCCTCAGCATCAGCTTCTCGGTCCCCCAGCAATTGGTGCCCGACCTCTCACCCGTTTCTTTGTTGGTGGGGAGGGTTCCCCCACTTTTACCCTTTTTTGGGGGAGGGTTCCCTACTTTTAGCCCTTTTTTGGTTGGGAGACAAACCCCCTACTAAAATAGACTACAGAAAAAAGTTGGTACCCTTATTCTAACCTCTCTACTGGAGGACCTAGGCATCATCCGAATCGAGCCATCCGAAGCGAGGCATCAAGGAATCGAGCCGGCGCTTGGTTGGCCCGCGATGCCGACCAAAGCTTTAAGCAACCAGTGAACCCAGTCTTTTTTCCCCGGCCATAGGCTTGCAATCGGGGGAAAGCATATGTCGGACTGTGTCTTTTTGAAGGTCCCCTCCAAAATGGTGGTTCTGACTTGTAGCTTCCCTTTAAAACCACCAAAAGGGGGGCGCCCTATTTGAGGGGCAGGCCTTGAACATGGCTTTGAGCCTTCCAACCCCCCCATTTAAAAGGGTACCGACCGGTACCGAGCCTCAAAAACCAGTAGCCCATTTGGGAAACCAAACTCTGGTTCGAAGCAAAACCTCAGCTGTTGGTGGCCAATTTGCGAGCTAGGTCCCCCAGCTAGGTGCCCTTTCTCGCCTTTTTTTGGGTTGGGAGGGTTCCCCTACTAAAATAGACTACAGCAAAAAGAAACTGTACCCTTATTCTAACCTCTCAAGACTGGAGGACCTAGCGAGTCTCCTTCTGGCGTTAAATGTAGGGACCCCAGGTAGCGGAGGTAAATTGCTTTTGGGTCGCAGGGGTTTCCTGGGTGAGCATGGGGTCAGCAAATACCAGGAAATGGATGAAACGTGGCTTAGGTTGAAATTTAAGGCGCACTTTCCTTGAGGGGTTGGGATGTTCATTCCTGAAAATTCGCAATGGGGCTGCCTCTTAGGAAAATACGAAACATGTGAAGGGGAAATTTCACTTCCTGGGTTTCTGGACTTTATTCTTCTTGGGTCTGGACCATTTTAGGGGTGAACAACATGTGTGGTTACTTTTTCTTGGCCCATCCATTCCTTCGCAGCAAGTTTCCATGATCGTTGAGAAAGAGTTCGCAGGGGGCTCTTCACTTTTCGACCCACACACTGTGGTGAAGGTTCCTGTCATGGTCTTCCCTTTCAGGGCATACCCTTCTACTAACTTTTTCGGGGGAGGGTTCCCCTACTAAAATAGACTACAGAAAAAAAAGGTCCCCTGATTCTAACCTCTCTACTGGAGGACCTAGTTTCCTTTGTACAAGGTATGGATGCTTGTATCGCTCACTTCCCGAGTTTCAGGACTTCAAACTTTTTTGACCAATCCACTCCTGTCATGATGGCACCAGTATAAGCTTGTAAAGCAGTACGGGCCTCCCTGAAAGGAAGTGGTATAACAACCTCCATCCCAAACCCAACCCTGAGCCTGGTGAACGATTATAATTGTGCATCCAAATATATACTGGTAGGCCCCCTCAATTGCTAAAGAGGATGGACTCTGATACACCCCGTGTTGTTGTTGTTGTTTTTTTTTTGGTGACATCATGGGTGCACTACTTGCTATACTCTCTGAGATATTCTCACGTGCTGCACAAGTAGCCATTCATGTGCTCGTGGCGGAAGTGTTGCAACGCTTCCTTTGATTCCAGTGGGGGGAGAAAAAACCTTCGCCAGCGCGCACCATCGTAGCGAGGGTTCCCTGTGGCTTGGAAACCTCAAAGCTCTCCTTGATAAAAACCTCGGAGTCCCTGAGACAGACCGGGTGATTGGGGTGATTGGCAGGAGGGAAACCCTCCAAAAGCTGCGTCCCGGTCTCCACTTTTACCCACTTGCAACTCCGAACGGAGAATCCTCGATGAGAATTTATTGGGCTCCATGTCTGCGGGAGAGTACTTTGTTGTGGTTTCTCATTCCGCTCGGCTCCCCAATGACCGTGGAATAAAAGTCACATGAGCCACAACCAAAACCAAGGTTAGCAATTAAGGGACAATCCCAACCATAAATAGCTGCGGCCGCCTTCTTAATTCTTCACATGGTTCTGGGTAGACCATGTTACTACCGGGTTTTGATTATGACTCAAATATTGTTGGTGTTTTCCCTGATGGTCACCCCCGTGTAAAGCACCTTTTGATCAACCTCCGGAGTTGCCAGGGAGGGAACTGCTCGCAAGGTGGATGAGCTGGCCTCCTTGCTGTCAGCGGCAGTCGCACCTCCGCAGGACTAAATGCGACCAGGAAAAAATGCATGCGCGCGCAGAATGGCTTTGAGGACAGGGTTGGAGCAGGGATTTTATATGTTTTGTCTGGTTTTCGGTGGATTTTCAGTGCATCACTTCTTGGGCCAATCTAGAGGGAGGTTCCTTTTGGTGGGAGGCTCGGGGAAGAGATCGGGAGCGAAGGGAGAATGACCATGACTAACTTTTCCCACGTGGTTGAAATGTCAAAATCCTGTCTTCGACATCAGTTGGGCCATGGGTGACTTCGGTGCGCCAAATGGTGTTGGGTGGGTGGTAACCATGATTAAAGCTCACTTATCATGGTTATAAGTCTCTTACGTGGGTATAACTAGGCTTTCTAACCACTGATTAAAGTACTAGGGCACCTCTTTCTTATTGGGAGGTGAAAGATCCGGGCCAGTTCCTGATCAGGAGGTTGCCACGTTCATGTTTTACCCATCTCGCGGGTTTTGGACATGGCAAGTCTAGGGCGAGTTCCTTTTGGGGGTGATGTTCTTTTTCATCCAATATCACGGAAACCCTACATCTGAGCAATGGAGGCCGGGCCTCTTTGAGAGGGTTTCCCTGAAACAGGGTCCTTGAAAGAAACGATTTCGCTGTTCCCAACATGTCGTTGCTCACCAAACAAGAGTCCGGGAAGGCTCTTCGCGACTGCAGCCCCTTGTTTCGTCTGGGGATTTGTGGAACTTGGACCATGCAAGTACTGTAGTACTAGTCTTGTTGCTAGTATGTGCCATGAGTGGGGTTGGTAGGTAGGGTCAGCAATTTTTGGAGGTTTGTACACAAGCAATACAATTGTTTCTGAGGGACCTATGACCATGATCCATGAGCCTGTCGCGTCATCCCCTTTGCTCACCCTCTACCTGGAATTGTGCCATCTACTTGAATCCCAGTGAATCCTCGGGGCACTCACCGAGTTTCCTCGCAATACCGGGGAGCCCCAATATTCCCGTGGCTAAGCTTCACAACCTTACCCAAATTTCCCACCAACAAAGAACAACCCAACTGATGTGAGTGTGGGTTTCTTAGGGGAACCCTCAAAATGGGCAGGTGTTCCTTCAATGTCCCTTTAAACCAAGCCAACAGGGTAATGTTGGAACTTGATTAATAAAGGGCCCCCCTCCTCAACAACGGAGGCACTAAATTTCTGTAGGCTCACTTTTGGGAGGACGTCCAAACAATGGAGGATTTTGGGGCCCAATTCTACTTTAGTATTACTTTGGTATTGCAACCACTTCTTCCTGAGCAGACTTTTTGGAACACTACTTTAGTATTGCAACCACTTCTTCCTGAGCATACTTGTTGGAATACTAATTACTTTAGTAGCCATTCAAAGGGTGTGCCTGTCAGCCAGGGAGGGCTTGAGCTAGAAAGAAACCAATTGAAACGGGAATGCTTTAAGCAAGAGGGGTACCCTTGTCCTGATTTGCTTTCATTTTTAAAGCACGGTTTAATAAAGAATTTTCAGTTTCAGGGCTGGGGATGGTTTTCAAATTTCAGAGGTTTCAGCTGGCTTTGGGTTTTGTGTTTGAGCAACCAATTAAAAGGGGAATGCTTTTAAGCAAGTGGGCCACCATCAACAATTTGTGGATATTATTGGATTTGTGGATTTTTTTTTGGATTCCCCCCCCCCCCCCGGCAAAAACAACTTTCACTTATTCTGGTTCCATCAACAATGGGGGCGAACCATAAAAAGGAAAAAAGCTTTGCAGTATTGACTATCCCATGATTAATCGGGTGTCAACATTACCCCCCCAAAGAAAAGCAAACAAACAGAAAGACGAGCCGCCCATGTGCGGTGGAAACCCCTCTCGCGGGGCTCGCATTTCTTTGGAGGCCATGAATGCCTTCGCCCGGCTGGAGCAGATCGCCGTGCGCGCCTGCAAAGAGGCCGCGAGCGAGCCCGCAGAGATCGATCGCAGGTGAGACTTCGATTGGCATCCCAAAGCACTCTTGCATCAGAGCAGGTGACATTGATCATGCTGAGTTTTTTTTTTTTTTTTTTTTCTGAGGAGGGGTATATATTCTAGGTCCCCCAGCCAGGTGTCCCCCTACTAAAATAAGCTACAGACAAAAAGTTGGTAGCCTTATTCTGCCCTCTCTACTGGAGGGACCTGATCGGGTTCTCAGATGCACACTGCCCCTGATACTGTGGATGGACAAAATCCGTTCGCACCACTTAGAAACCATGGGAAATGGTATTTACAGGGGCATCATTCATTCCAGGGTTTCTTAGGTGGTGCAAATTTTCGTTTATCCACAGTAGGGCCTAATTTAGGCGCCCCCCAAAGTCTCGAAATCAACATTGGCGGCCAGGGCCCAAGTGACATTTTGTTAGGTGTTTGCTTCTTGTTGGATGGGGGGTTGTCTTCAAAATCCCAGTACCCATATTTTTCGTTAGTGCCATATTTTGTGTAAGTGTCTACGGATCCGGTGTTTTGGTTAGTGCCCCAGTAAAACAAAAAGCCATGTTACCCAAGTTTTACTGGTCTGGCTCTGGAAAGATGGTGTCCATTTCCTCCCTCCTTCCATCACGGTGACCTGGGACACAATGGTTTAGTGGAAAGTATCTTAGATCTAAACCACTAAACCATTGCTTCAAAAGCGCCAAACCATTTAGCACTACTTTACTAAAACTACTTAGGTGTCCATTTGCTTGAGAATATGTGCTGTTTTCTTGTTGGTTTGGTCCATAGGCTTTCTTGCGCTGAAATGAAGATTTGTTCTTCCATGTTGGTTTTAAAAGTACGTTGTCACTACTGGATTTGTTGTTGCCGGCGGCTTAAGCAAATGGAAGTAGCTGGTTCAGGACCTAGAGTTACACACACACACACAATCTGGCAAGCTTCATTCTCTTCATTTCCTTTAGCCAGACAAAAAACGCAATTTGAGCAAAGGATCGAAGAGTTCCAAGGTGCCTTTTTGGGTATTTTATTGTTTGAGCCGCAGCCATATGGAGGAAGGAGCCAGTGAACCAGAAGACAGCTGTCCAGTTTGTTTGACGCTCACCTCTTGGCTATTTGCTAAGATCTGCATAGACCTGGTTTCTTGGTGGCTCCCAGCAATCCGGTTCCTTAGCGTTTTAGCCTTTTAGCCTTTTAGTGCTTAGTGGTAGTTTCCATTTAACCCACTAAACGTTAAACTTTTAGCGAGGGATCTGAGGGCAGCCCAGGTTTGTCTCCATATCAGACCCCGCCAAATCAGCGAAACGATGCTGCTAGCTCCCAAGGCAATACCGCGACTATGGTTCCATTGGTGGTACATGTGTGTGTGTGTGTGACTGGAGACTTGTGGTTGCCGGGTCTTGAACCAGGAACAATACGGCTTGACCGTGCAAGCCTCATGGATCCCTTGGGCCAGTGACTCCTTGGCGGACCGCTTGGGGGGAACCCAGGCCCCCTCCAAATTGGCACCCTTGGGATTCTGGAATCGAAAGGAAAGATCGAAGCACCTCCATTTGCTTAAGAATATGTTTCTTATTTTCCCTTCTTGGTTTTAAAAGGAATTCATCACTGCTGGACATGTTGTTTTTTTCCCTGGCGCCTTAACCAAATGGAAGAGCAGGATCTGGAATCTGACAAAGATACTTGGAGTGTAGAGTTTGGCTTAGGCACCTATGTTGATCGCTTTGTCTCCGAGTTCAGACCAGATTGGTGAATGCAGGGTCGACACGACAAAAGCCTGGGCTTGAATTTGCTGAGGGCATCGTTTGAGTTTATCAGTGGTTTGATTCCCGGCAGAGAGACCTGTAGACAATACCACCGTCGGTAGAGGAAACCCCCTTTCAAGGGGGACCCGGTTCCATGTACATGGGCAGAGCCGAAAGGTGCCCTAAGTGGTAACAATTCGGCACCTGGAGTCATAGCGCAAAGTTGCGGCAAGGTCAACAAACGGTCCAAAAAGGTCCACGGTAAAACACAGTCCCACCCCATTTCCCCCCATCAGAGTGTTGTCTTGGAGTGTGTACCCTTTAGAGACCAACCCCCATCATGTTCAGGGTCAAAATGTTCTGTTTTGTTTTGATTCGTTGCTTGCGGTATTGATGGGTCGATTTTACACGATGCGTATCATGTGGGTCAAACACATTGTAGTTTTCAAAGAAGAGAGCCACGTCATATTGTGGGTCCGTGGAAAACCGGCAGAGAATGACTGCCCCACACCCCAGGGAACTTATTTTTTGTGTGTGTGAAGCCTGATTCCATTGGCTGGTCTTTGGTGTGAGTCGCATTGAACAGACCTTTTGGGCTCACTAGGTCTTTCCTACACAAGGTGATCGACCTTTGAAGCTGCCAAAAAACAGGGCTAAGTCCCCCAGCTAGGTGCCCCGTATCACCGTTTCCTTTTTGGTTAGGAGGGTTCCCCTAAAATAGACGTCCTGAGAAAAGTTGGTACCCTTATTCTAAGCTCGCAAAACTGGAGGACCTAGAGGGTGATGGACGTGCTCACGTCTCGTGGCTTGGATTGCTCCCATTGAACCGGCTCGCAGATCGGGCGTGACCTTGGCATGGACCTGGCACAGATGCCCAGCGACGTGTCCTCCGCCATGAGGCTGGGTCAAGAGTGGATGTGTGGGGACCGGGCCCCGAGATTCTCGGGGTTGATTCCATTTCCATTCTTCAACCATCGTTCTTTTCAAGAACCGGATCTTTGTCCACGGGGTTTTGGGGTTGTTTTGTAGAAATAATGATGCCTGGAAAGAATGGGGAAGGTACCCCCTGTACCGTTGAGGAGGCCCCAAAAGAGCATACCCTCAACAACAAAAAACTGACCATCTAGAGAATGCTTTGTGGGTCCTACGATGGTTTTCCCATTCAAAAGATCACCATGGGATTTGTTTGAAGGGCACCCTTGTAAAGCTGGTTCAAAAAAAAGGACAGAACCAGCACGTGTAGGGTCCTGGTACCATGGGAATCTGAACGACCTATGTTTTGGTCTGGACAAATCATGAGCTCACCAGAGCTTTTTGGTGGTCAACGCCAGTCATAGCA